GGGGGGGGGGGGGGGGGGGGCAGGAGGATTTTACATCTCTGATCTCTAACATAGTCTAAATGTATCAACAGAGGACAAATTTCATCGACTTATAGCACCAACCAAAACATAAACACCAATTCCATGTTTCATCCTTTGGGACTTTGGAGAGTACAGAACTAAAGTCTTCTTGCATTGATGTTTCCTCTACCACTTCAACCTCTGCCACATTTCTCTGCCTTTGTTTGTTTCCTCGGCAGCCGAACCCTCTTATATCACTTATCTTTTTGGCCGCACCGTCTGGTTTCCTTCCTCGAGTGCCGTACCCTCTGTATCTTCTTCCTTAGCTGCATGTTTCTCTCTTCTCTTTCTCTTCCTTTCTTGCTTCTTCGGTCACCGATTCATCCACTCCATCTTCCTTTATTGCTGGTGGTTCCGCCTTTGTTTTCTCATCTGTTGAATCCTCTGTCCTCGGTTTTTTTACCGATGAATTCTCTCCTTTCACTTCCTCAATTGGTTCTTCCACCGCTGTCCTACCAGCCGAGTGATTTACTCTCACTTCCTCTGCAACTGCATTATCCACCTCCTCATTCTCTGCAAAAGCAGACCATTTCTCTCCATAGGCAACATTTGAAGACATGATCGAGTTCACGATCGTGGCAATTCTTGTGGCATGATAAGATAGGCTGGCCAGCTCGGTGTTCAAAACAGCTAGAGGGGAGCGTTGTTTCATGACCCGACTATTGTGTTTCTTCCCAAGAACATGAGCCTTCATCACCCCCTCGGAATGCGTTCCAATATCACAAACTTCACACCGAAATCTGAACTTCCGTTTCTTTTCAAAATCTTTCTCCGGCGTTTCCACTCTTTGACCCTCTGTACTAGAGCCTTCCCGGATTGCATCCCCAACTTTCTTTTTCGCGTCCTCTGCCCCAGACTCCGTCACACCATCTGATTTTGGCACTGTGTTAGCAGCAACAACACCACTGGCTGTGGTGGTGACGGCTGGAGAAACGGATGCAAGGGTTGTTAAAGAAGCCTCAGGGCATTCCTTCTGTTTTTGAATACGAGTCTTATGCTTTTTCCCTGTTTCATGTTTCCCCATGGCGTATTCACTATAGGTCCCAACTTTACAAAGCTCACACCAAAACCTAGGTTTAGTTTTTGCCTTGTATTTCTCCGTTGTTTCCATTTGCTTTTCACCACCAACTTGCTCAAAACAAGATGGCTTAGATGTTCGTCCTAGGGAGATCTTGGGTATCTGTGCTGCTCTCAAAGACACTTCCTTGGCTTTGTGCCTTTTCCCTTGAAGATGTTCATTCAATCCTCTCTCACATGTATAATTAACCTCACAAAGGGCGCAACTCCATTCTTCCCTAGATTTCTTCTTCGCAGTGAGGAAATGGCGCTCTTCAGGACCAGCTGCAGGAGAAGGCGAAGCCTCTGCTTTACGCTTTGTTCCTTTAGGATCAGGCCTATCCTGCAACATCAAAAAGAAAATACGTCAAAGTTAAAAGGATAAAGCCATAGCCTTCCATCCAAGCTCTTTCTTTAGTGTGTTCGCCATTCAAGAATAACTCTTTCATGTATACAAACTTGTCACTTTCATTTGTTAGAAGTGCGCGATTATGAGGATTTTCTCATAGAGCATGGGAGGCTTAAGACAAATTGAAATGGGAAATGGCAACAACAGAAAGGTGTGTGCTACTATCAGAAGATGAAGGTTTGTTGAAAGAACACAAGCAGAACTAAAGAATGATTCACATAATTTCTCCAAGTAGCCCTCCTCATGAAAGAACAGGATTGCGGTTAATTATCAGTTAATGCACTTACCAATACAATCAACTTATCCTTGTTAGATTCGGACAAGCTGCTCTGATTGGTTGACTTCCTAGAATTGATCCACATAGTTAGTCTTTCTTCGAATGACACTCCCTGCATTGCCATTTCTCTATCGGGAGCCATCTCCTTTATAACCTCTTCCACGAGCTCTCTTCTTCTCGCTGTTTCCACAGCAATGACCTCCTGACGGATGTATTCCTTTCTTATCTCCCGTCGAATAGCTTCCCAGACACTGTCCTCGGTCGGATTGCATGTAGCTTCTGAAGGCAGTTTGATATTGCAACCTACAAATCCAACTCAAAAGATATCACAGTTCCATACTTCAAGCAGCAAAGTCACGTCGGATTCTTCTCATTATCACACAAGCCTGGTTATATAAGAAAAAGGCCAAAGATTCTCGATTTCTTAATGCAGGTTTCCCTTTAAATTTCTCGGCAACAAAACATGGAAAATGCAATTCTGAGCTCTATGCCTTTGGAATCGGCAATTTCCAGCCCTAATTCACGAAAATCAGTGCCAATCCCCAAAGGAATCCCTACGAAATGGAAAACATTCCCCGAGAAAACGCAGCAATAGAACCAAAACAAAACAAGGGATCACCGAATCGAATGAGAAAAACACCAAATCGTCGAATGATGTACAAAAGAACTCATACCTGGAATCGATGGCTCCGAGAGGAAGCCGGAGCCAGCAGATGGAACCGCCATCGGTGGCCGATCAACGTCGACAGCTCTGTATCTGAATTCCATTCAAACTTCACGACACTGAGAGAGTCTGAAGAGGGAGAGAATCAGCGGGAAAAGGACGGATTTGGATTCGAGAGCCCAATACACAATTTACACACCATTAGGGTTTTTGGTTCGACCGGTTTTTTGTTTTCCAATTTTTTAAAATTTATATCCATTCATTTTCCATTTTTTTTTTAAAAAAAATCCTATCTCACTTTTACATGCAATTAATTCGCCGGATAGTATGTAGTATGTACGCGCGCCGTTTGAGTTCTCTCTCAGCTGTAGTCGTTGGGTCACGGAATCAATACACACACTAATATGGGCCCATGGGCTTTGGCCCATGATCCATGATGCGCCAGAGATTAAGATCATGTGTAATCAGTCGTACTCGAAAATGTGTGTATTCCCAGTAGAAAACGCCACGTGTACGATTTGGGCACCGATAATGAACGGTGTAGATCTCACGATTGGCTTCGCTGTCACTGGGCTGTCTTTCCCGGTGATCTTTCATTTTCCTTCTCTGATAATTAATTGAAATTGAATCAAGCTCTATCTCCGTCTCCCTCCCTCTCGTTCCCTGGGTCGTTGAAAAATGCCGAGCAAGTGCGAGATTTTGTGCGAAATCTTGATCGCGATCCTTATTCCTCCTCTCGGAGTCTGCCTCCGCCATGGCTGCTGCACTGTACGGTCCCCCCTCTCTCTCTCTCTAATTTGTCAGTTGAGATCTCTATATTTCTGTTTGGTTACCGATAAACTTTTGATTTTCTCGTTTGGAAGCGGGGCTAGTTCTAGGTAGAACTGGGATGGATTAGGAGTTAGGATTTCGTGATGATCTGGTCAATTTCTGTTTTATCGCTTAGAAATCGAAAGGAAAATTAGATTGACTCGTAATGGCAATCTGCAACCGTTTCGATCCTTATGCATAATTGCGTAGGAGATTCGCCTACTGTTCGTAATCGATTGTTGTTGCTTTTGGCAGGTTGAGTTCGTAATTTGCCTGCTTCTGACATTCTTAGGCTACATCCCCGGCATCATATACGCGGTCTACGCCATTGTGTTTGTGAACCGTGACGAGTTCTTCGATGAATACAGGCGCCCTCTCTATTACGCTTAATCGAGTCACGCGCATCGCGATCTTGGCAAAGCATCATCACCGCCTGTAAACTCCACTTATATATTGAATTCAAGGTATGTGCATTCTGTCAAAAATATGATGTGATCTCATTCTAGCGGTACATTCTGGACGATGTAACATGGATCTAATAACTTCATTGATGTCCGCTGATCATCATCCTTTGCAATTTTGGCTCCCCGATTAGAAGGGTTTTGCGAGTGTTGAAAGATCCCAAATGAACAGATTCAAACTTGATAAATGGGGCGGAAGAGATCGATCGAGAATTGTTGTTGCGAACAGAGTTTGGGGCTAAGAAAAGATACTCAAGACACTGAGGGTCATCATTTACATTTTGTTTTGGATTTTTCCATTTCTTTTAAAAAAATTTATGAAAAAATCATATCACTTGATTGAGTTTTTATATGGATTCCATTTGATTGAGGTCTGGTTTTTATTCATGTTATTATTTTTAAAAGAAGTTGTCGATTTTTAGTTATTTTTATATTTGATTCCAATTTGTTTTTTTTAGGTTTTAGAATAATCATATTCGTTTTTAAAATATGATTTTTGGGTTATCTTTACAGAATAAATGATAAGGAAATTTGTTTTTTTATATTGGTTATTTTGTAAATTTTTGAACAATCGTATTTGATTTTACTCTAATCCGTTCACACAGTAAATTAGTCCAACATCTAACTCCACTTGACGTGAGAATTATTTCCTCTGGTTCACAATGATTGATGTTTTAAATTAGTATTTTTTATATACTAAATTGTTGTTATGTTAAGTTTTCTAGGCAATTTTTCAAAATATTTTTCAATTTTATTCTTAATAAAAGCTAACAAATTTCAATAGATTATTAATAATATTTGTATTAGTGAAAGATAAATGAGATTTTTTTTCTATTTTCTTAAAAAATGTGAAAAGGTTAAAACGTCAAATTTTGTGACTATAATAATTATAATACTTTTTTTGAAGTAGACTATCATAATATTTTCCTTGTAAAAATGTAATGCGACTATATTGCGACTATAACATCTTATGCATTATATATTCCACGTGGAAATTCCGCGGTTAGTAGTACATTTCAATTTTTCAAAAGCGGAAATAATATAAGGGATTTTTCTTAATTCAATTGAAGCTTGCTTATGCCATGGGGTTTCGGATTTGGATTTATTTTATTTTCAGATTTTGATTTTGAAAAACTACACACCCACGCCCGCATATATATATATATATATATATATATGTATATATTACATTTTGGTTTGATGTAGATTTTATTTATATTTAAAAATATTCAGTTGTTTTTTAAAAATTTATATTCTATCTGAATTTAATTATTTGGTTTTAAAAGAATCATATTCAATGTATTTAGATAAGTTTTGATAAGAAAATGATGAGCTTGATTTGCTTTTATATTCTAAACTGAAATGTTTACCGTTTACGCTGATACATTATTACATTTTACCTTAAAAAATACATTTATTTTTTCACCAAAACAATTTTTCCAAATAAAAAAAAATTCATCCACGCCACTAGCATCCGATGAAATCCACCGTGAAAGAAGGAGATAACTTATTCTCGTATGAATTAAAAAAAGGTCACACTGTGGATCCATCTCCTAATTAACACATTTCAAGGTGTATTTCTGATCAAATTAAAATAAGAGGCTAAAATTCTAATTAAAACATTATATAGGTCTCTTTTGAGATTTTCTCCAAATAATAACATTTTAAAAAAGAAAAAATATTTTTTTTAATATTCTTTTCACACAATAACTTAAATACGAAATTAGTCGGATCAAAGACACGAATATTCTTATTAAAGAAAATATATTATTGGATCGCCTCTTTTTAAGAATTACTGCTGTAATTTTTTTTACAGTTATTTTTTTTGATAAAATATGTTTGTTATATTAATTTTAAAATCTTAAACGAGGAACGTATTAATTTCAAAATTTCAAACAAAGAACATTAATAGTGGTTAGATTTAAAAAAACAACAAAATACAAGAATCTCGTAACAAACAAACGAAACAGATCTCAGATAGCTAATTAATACGATATCAAAGTTGTATAATTTCGTTGTCTCCTCCGATCTCTGCAAGAAGATTAGAATATTTCGCATCGCTCTGTCGATTTTTCCGAGCAAAAGTTGGATAGGGTATAAAATCGATGCGCATGATAAATTTTTTTTGGGGAACCGCTCCAGTTTCTTTTCATGTTAGAACCGACCGAGGGTTGGCGACCCACTTCTTGATTCACTTGATAACCCTTATTGTGATTGCTCTCAGGCGAAGTTTGGTTGTGAACATGAAAGCTGATTTCAGGGAATCAAAGATGTAATAATGTCTCTGCAGTTTTCCTGAAATGATACCATCTGGTAAGGAATCAGTGATTAAAACCCGCAGATTCAACCAGAGGGTTTTGGAACTGTAAGTGATATGCCCAGTGCCCAATAGCTGCAATGCAACCACATCATGGCATTCAACAGATGAAGCTCTTTATTTTCTTTTTTTGTTACAGATCTTTTCTAAACTTTATTTTTTTTTTCAAATTTCTCAGATTAGTCACGCTAAGTGTAACTTCTGGCTGAAATGTTTGTTTTCTTTTTTTTTTTTTTTTTTTTTTTTTTGTATGATGGCTTCTCTTTACTTTCTTTGTAAACTTCTATAATGATCACTAAACTAATTGAGATTATAAAAAAACTAATTGAGATTATATATATATATATATAACAATTTAACACACAGCCCACATCACATGGGAGCTTACATGTGAACCGCATAATTTGCATTTTCTTTCTTCTTTTCCTTTTCTCTTTTTTTTACCCTAATACCCTCTTTAAACTTTTGATCTCTTCTTGATTCCCTTTCCCTAAGCTTGATACAAAAGAAAGAAGCAAAAAAAGAAAAAAAAAAGAAAAAAAAAAGGGAGTTGAAGGAACAAAGAGCACAGTAATTTACGTGTGAATGTGTTGTTGAGGAAGTTATGGCCATGGAAACTTGCTTACACGCAAGACATGAGATTCGGTTTCATCCGTTTCCTCTTGATTCGTTTGCATCAGGTGAGTTCTGAGACTGCAATCTTCGATCTGTTTCAGACATCGAAAACTCGAGTTCAACCACTCAATAAATAAAGACGACCACTTTCATTACAACTGTCAAAACCCGTTCTCGAGCTTTTGTAGCCAAAGATGTTGTCTTTCGACGTGTGCTACCTGCGTGACAGCGGCTGAGGCCAAAAGATCTTCGCATCGGGTAAGCATAGATGTCTCTTTTGAAGCTAGAAAAGCAAGTTCTGAAACCAGCTTATTCATCTCCTCCACCTGCAGTAAGACGAGAGAGGTCAATACTCGAGCAAATGAAATGAATTCACCGATCTTATGCAGTTATTTTGCGAATGAGATCTTTAAAAGGCTCACCTTTGAGAGTAAAGACCAGATGGATGATCCCATAGCCTGCATAACATCAAGGGCAGAGGACATAGCTGACTTCAGGGATTCAATGTCTGCCTGAGAAAAAACCAACAAGAAATTATATATGAGAACTGGATTCTTGATTTGGAATTTATCTCTACCGATCGATCCTCTATCTAAAAGTCGCATACTTTAGTTCCTCCAGTGACCGGGAGCCGGAGAGTATTTGCTTCCAAATCTTCGATTGCCCCAGCTAAAGAACTAATGTGGTCTCTCTCAAGTATAGTCCAATCTTCAAGATGCTCCATCTGCACAAATATTGATATGTAGAAGCATCTAGATTAGCAGATTGATATCAGAATGGATAGTCTGATGAAACCAAAGTAGAGTTAGAGTTAGAACGAGAGAGAGAGAGAGAGAGAGAGAGAGAGAGAAGGAGAGAGAGAGTACCTGCCGGTTTAAGATAGAGTTCAGTTTGATCTCAAGCTTCAGCTGTTGAAGACGGGTCCTTTTGCTTATAAAAAGATCCCGTAACTCTGAAGTTGCACACCAGACATTGTATAGTGTTTCCTGAGACATCAAAGGTTGCTTAGACGACATGACTGACGCACATAACAATAGTCACAGACACAAATGTAGATGAAACACCTATCACAAAATCTCATAAACAGGACAATTTAGGAATTCAGGATTAGAATTAATGTTTTTTGTTATAAATACAGTGAACTAAACCCTCAATCAATCTGACAAACAAGGATGTCTTGTGCATTCAGGCATTACAAATTACGTGGAAATAACAAATACTCTATCGAACGGTACCAACATTTTATAGTATTTTCACTGTCATCTACAGTTTCATGTTCTGTTTCATTGAATATGAAATCATCTCAATTCAGAGAAAAGAGACTTTTTCAAGACCGTCCTGCGCAATCAGAAAGGTGCAAGCAAGGAGATCCAAACAAAAGCGGGAGATGGATAAAAGACTTTACCTCGGTGATTAGTTTTTGAATGTACATTACGGCTTCAGCTCGAGCATTTGCAAACTGCCACTGTAAATATCTATTGTAGAGCAACCGCAGTTGATGAACATCTTCTATGTAGCTAGCCTTCTTTCCCTTTTTAACATCAGTGATGAAACTCAGAACTGAGGTTGTGTTACTGGTTTGTGTAGAAGTGCCGGTTTGTCTGATCCGTGAAGGGCTTACTCCTCTTGAAGGTGGAGTTGATGGCCTAGAACAGGAAGGGTTTGTGCCTCTCGAAGGACTCAGTCCTCTTGAAGGGCTCATTCCTCTTGAAGGACTCATACCTCGAGCGATAGAGGATGATGATGAAAACGAGTTTCTGCTCGGAGTTGCAGGACGTGAACCAGGTGCGGACAACGGGTGTAATCTAGCTACAGCCGTCGCTAAAGTCGTCCTATCTAAAGAACTCGCGGACAGAAGCTTGCGAGGCCCAGATGCCCGTGCTGAATTTCCATCTTCTGACTTTGTGGGAGACAATAATCCACCATTTTCATCACTGGATGTCTTTTGCAAAAGTTTCGAACCACTGTATAAGGGTAGTGACATTCTCCTTGTAGATGGCTTTCCCATTCCCAGTGTCGAAGGTGATAAAGGTCTCGCCGGCTTACCGGCTAGATCCAAGCTTCTGTTCAACGAATCAGAAGTAATCTTTCCACCGATTCTACTAGGCCACCGATGCTGTTCTATTAGCCGGCTACGTGGCCCATCAACAGGTTTTGAATTCTCTGTTTGATCAGAGGCATTCTTCCCCTTCAGAGGACTTCTTTTTCTCTCAGGCGTAGGTTTTCTTGATCCTGAGGGAGTTTCACCCTGCTTATGTGCTACATTTGAAGATGGCCTCAGAGTTCGATCAACCGAAGAACTACTAACTGCTTTCTCTTTTTTACTAACAGGAATTGAAATACTATCTGACTGAAACGAAACACTGAGGCTTCTCATCGTGGAAGGCCATAAGCTTTCAGGCAACCGACCAGTAGATAGCCTTCTAGATGACACTGGCAATTCTATAGATGCATCATGTACTGGTGTGGATGGCCTAATGGGAGAAGGCGGTGTCGAAGGCCGCTTTCTCTCGGCTGAATTGGCTCTCCTTGGCACCAATTGGGAACTCGAAGATACTGTCCTCGTGACACTCGGAGATGGGAATCGCCGGCTTTTGGTGGGCGTCGGTGATCGGTATCTTGAACTGACCTCCATTGTTCGAGGACGGCGCGTAGCAACGGCTGCATTGTTCTTCTCAGCTGGAACAAGTGGCGGTCTTGTAGTATCTGGCACTGAATGTTGTATCTCCGATGCTTTCTTAGACCCATATATATCCATTCAAGCTACTGAAACAAAACCGCATTGATGGATTCAGTCGTCTCTGACCCTCATTTACTCTGCATTCAGGTGAATTTAATCACAACTCCAGTTGTTTGTAACGCTAAGACCCTTTTATTCTGCCAGAAATCCACAAGAAAGAGAAAAGTAAGATACCCCAGATGGGCAATAAGGAAAGCAACGCAAAGAATATTAAAACAACCCAGGTAAAGAAGGAAAAAGATTACATCTTTACAACAGAGACCCAGATCAAGAATCTGCCCAAAGCCTATATATCCAGTCAAAAGAAAATCAAAAGAAGTTTTGGTGTTTTCAAGATCTTTTCATTGAGGAAACAAAGGTTCCCAAACAGATCAGGCCATGAAGAGGAAAATGCAGAACCCAGAAAGACAAACCTTGGGACAAGAGGAATTTGTTCAATTTCCAAACACTTGGGTTTGGTTGCATCTGAGTAATTTTCATCAATAATAGGTTTTAGGGTAGGGGTCCCCTAAGAAAAATGAAAAGGTGAACAAGGGACTGCAGAGAACTAGCAGTCTAAGATAAGAAGACAACAAGAGTTTGCCTAAGACTATAAAATAAAGCATCAAACAAGAGGGCCAAGAGAGAGAGAGAGGTGGGTCAAGTAGTTAATTTTACTTCACATTCCGTGAGATATTTTTCTTGTTTCAGCTAAAATTTAACTTCTTACCAAAATCTTTTCTTCTAACTTTAAAGAGAACAGAATCCTTTTCAGGGTTGCTATCACGGGGGTGCCATGGTCGGATGGGCTGGAAATTAAATGGAGAGTTTGGTTCCACTCACAGACCCACTCTTCCTCTTCTTCCTCTTTCCATCAAATCAAACCCCTCAGAAGGGAAAGAAAGCAAGAAAAAACCCCTCAAATTTATCAAAAGAAGCTTCCTTTTCCCAACCTTGCTGTCAGTAAACTAGCGCAGCGCAAGATTTAATAATTCATGCGGCGTTGTTTTGATTATAATATTAAGGTATTTAACAATTAGCAATATGGAGTTTTGCAGATTATGCTGTTGCTCAAGTTATGGGAACAGACAAGGACAACCACGTGTAAGGAAGAGTCACTGTCCATTCTCCGAGAAAAATTCAGAGAAGGGAAAAAATGCACAAGCAAAATGGTGAACATAGCAATGGTGATGATGATGAAGCAAGCAAAGCAAATTGATTCCTGCAGAATAGAATAGAGTTTACGGTTTGACCATTTGAAGGGTTTTTAATTTCTCGAGCTAAGGAAAAGGTTGAGGACGAAAATCGATGTAAAAACTCGTGAGGGTGGAAATTTTTTTGATTCCAAAACCTTTTTTTTTTTTTTTTTTGTAATTTCGAAGTGACAATCAGACGGTTCTGACGAAGAATCCAAAAATGTTTAATAATAACAATACTCTAATTGTCTGTTTCTGACACGACTGTTGTCTCATGACGCGGACGCGTTAATTGATACAAACAATTTCCTGCAAAATCCTTAATTGTCTTCCTTGTTCATTGAATTCTTAACAATGTCGACCCAAACAAGATTCATTCTTTCCATCCTTGATCAAACAGAAAAACCTAGCTTCGACTCAACATTCTCCCCTCATATTACAGTTACAAGATTCAAATCAGAATTTAGGGTTCCTCGTTGCAACCGAATCGAAACGGGTGGAAGAAAAGGAACATTGATAACCCTGCGATCCGAGGAATCTGATGCGAAAAACGATAAATTTACCTGGAAAATCGAGGGATGACGAAAACCCCTAGATCCCCGAAATCAATCGAGCCGCGACTCCTTGGAAAAATCTTCTCGTTCTTCGAGATCAAAATGGAGAACCCAACGATCCGAACAAGATCGAAGTGAACCAAACGGAAATCGTAAGATCCGTCGCCGGAGATAAAGAGAACTCGCCGGTAAACAGCCGGAACGAGAATAAGCGGGTCTGATTATGGAGCGATTTCAAACGGATTTGGGATCAGAGAGAGACAATAAGGACGTTGTTTTCGCGCCACCTAATCTTTCTTAATGTATGGAAGAGTCTGGCTCTCAAGCAAACTACTTCTACCAAAATAATTTTTTAATTACAATACATATATATATATATATATATATATATTAGCCCATCTCAATTCAGTTACAACGTTGAATCGAATCCATTAAAATTATAAATTCGATTACAATTTTTAATAAATCAAACCATATTATTTGTAATTGAATTGAATTTATTAAATCATTTAATGATTAGATTATAGTTTTTTGTAAAACCGATACCTATAGTATCTAAACCTAAAACTAAATTCAAAGGCAAACTGACCAACCCTACTGTGCTTGAGTTGTTTTGCTAGCGTTGACGAATTTATTCAGAGTTTCAACTCCATTTCTTATTTTTGGTATTACAAAGCCATTATTAAAATATGAATATTATGTATATTAAATACGTACATGATTTATATTTGTGAATGTAGTTGAAATGGTAACTTAATTTTTTTTAATGAAAATGATGGATACTTCAATAATCTTCAATAATTTTTGGTGGAACGATTTGAAAAGTAATTAGATTAAAATGTAAGCAGTTGAAGTATGCTTTATTTTTAAGATTATGTCTTTTTCTGATTGTAATTATGTAATATATATATATATATATATATATATAGTGACGGCTTTCGAATTTTGACCGAAGAAGACAGTTTATATTTGTTTTATTCTTATTTATCTATAAGACAATACATGTTACGTGTGTGTGTGTATATATATATATATAGTGGCGGCTTTCGAATTTTGGCCAAAGAAGATAGTTTACATTTGTTTTATTCTTCTTTATCTATAAGACAATGCATATTACGTTCTCTAAATAAAATGCTAAGAAAAAATAGAAATAGTTAACTTTATCTCTGTTTTCATTTTAATCTCGGGAGGAAAAAAATATTTATATTAATTTTTAATAACGTAACGTTGAAAGATATTATGTACGTTCAAAAATGGGAATTAAAATGAATAATATTTATATAGATTAATAAAATTTTGATTAATTGCTCCTTGTTGAAAGGTTAAGGAAGAATTGATGAAATTGTACTCGAGACCAAATGATGGCAAAGTTAGATACATAGCTTCCTTGATTGGATGATGTCTTGTTCTGTAAACACTTTTAGGACCCTCTCTTTAAGCCGAAAGCTTTAATTTGTACCAGTTATTTTTCACACCTAACTTTAACTAAATATATTATTTTAAGGTTTGGTAATTAAAAAAATGGGAAAATAAATTTCTAAAAAAAAACCTAAATTCAGTACCCATTTTTTTTTTTAATTTTTTTTAGAAATTTTGATGTTCCATCATAAAAAGTATGTTTGGCCAACCTATGATGAGAAAAAAGAAATCATGCACCAGTTCCTTACTTTTTAATTCTCTTTTCTTTATTTTTTTTTATGAAAATAAAATAAGTTATTCACACACAGAGATCAATGAAAACAAAAATATTATCCAAAAGTGTATTTTCAATATTTCTATAATGGTATACATATTTTAAGGGCAATTTGGTTCTGTTCACTTTTTTGATATTACACTACAAATATGATTTAGCATAAACATGATTTGTATATAAAAATGGGTTAATACAATTCAAAAGTAATTATCTTTTCTAGTTCATTACCCGTTAGGTTTCTCCCCCAAATATTTCGATGTTTTAAATAATTCTATGCACTGTATTAATTTTTTTAAGAATATTCTTCTTTTTTATTTCAACCAAATTAATTTTTTACGATGATCGGGAAATAAAACTGAATAACTAAAAATTTATTATATTTCAAAATATATATATTCTATAATCTAGAATAGTATTTTTAGAAAAGTAATTATACAATGTAAAATCGTATCGAAATTCTTGCAAATTTTAATACGTACTAAAATTCATTTGGCATCTTCATTTTTCTTTTATAAATTTTCAACAAATTGTATACTAAAGTAATTATATAAACTTCCTCTTCTCCTTTTATTTTAAGTAGCAAGTCTTTATCCCTTTACAAAAAGCTTTACTGCATTTTATAATATTTTTTATATTCTAAACTCTAAAAATAAATAAATTTAAAACGAAATATCAATAGAAAAACCTTTTTAAAATTTATTTTTCGGTGTTGAAAATCGAAAAATAATTTAGTATAAAATGAACGGACAAGATGCTAATTTGGTAAATGGATACAAAAGTGAAACATTGGCAATAATAATTAGTGAATTCAAGAATATGTTTAGGGATTCAAAGAGGTTCCCACATGAGATGATTCCGACATTTCATATGATAATATAAGCTTTCTATGGATCTTTCTCTCCTCCCTACATTTAATTGTTCTGTCCTTTGCCCCCACTTCCACTTGTTTGTCTTCATAAAGATTATTTGTACAATTCCTTATTTTGTTCTTCCTTTGCATTTTGTGTTTATATATTTTTATAATGTATAATAGTATGATCGAATATTCGATTCCAATTTTAGCGGTTCACCGATATTGCTTATCATTTATATTATGATCGTTTAATCTTACAAAATGTTGTAATATTAAGTATGAAAAATCTGTATTTGTATATTATTTTTTTTATTTTGTTTTTTCATCATTAATATTTATATTACAAACCGAAAACGAAACATTTGTAGTAGAATTCATTTTTCAATGTTTTTATTTTTGAAAAACAAAACGAATTTGATTCATTTTTTCCCCTATAACAAGTGAGATAACTTTTTCTAGTCAAAATATTTTTTACAAGCCACCTAACTCGTCACGTAGATGGGAGAAGATAGAGATGAAGGGACAAAAGAGTACAAAGGAAGGCCAATTTAATTATGTGGTTTGGGATAAGAGTAGTGAGGACAACTATAAAATCATTTGCTAGGATTAATAATAAGTAATATAATCACAAATTAATAACACTAAAAAGTGAGAGATAGCCTTTTATGATTGGTGATTAAGAGTGATAACAAAGACCAAATGATGGGCTTTCATGTGCTTAAGCATAATTATATTGTGATCATGAAAAAAAAAACTAAGCATATGCAATGCTCCTCTCATGTTCCATCATTGGTCACACATGTTTTTTTTTTCTTTTGTTCACACGAGCTTGAAATTGTATTTTTTTTTGTAACCGAGTATATTGAACCAATCCCCGCATTAATTCACATAAATTTTAGGGCAGAAGTTAGCCATATAATTTAGAACTCGGGATAAGATAAACACTTTACACTCCTGTTTCAACGGTTGAACTACTTAAATTTGAGTATAACTTTGTATTGATATCAATAACTTTGGTTAGATAAAAACGAAAAATTTAGAATAATTTATTTGTTATTTTTAGAAAGACAAATGCGTAAGAAGTCTGCTAGTATAGATTATTAAAATTTGTAAATAATTATATAAAAGTATTTATATAAATATACCAAATATTTAACTTTATTTATATGCATGTATGGACTTTTAAATATTACTGTTTTTTTAAGTTAATAAAATAACATTAAATCACAATCGAAATATCTAAGATTTTAAATAACGAAGATTAATATAAGCTGAATATTTATATTCTAAAGATTGTATTATAAACCAGATCTATTTTAATACTATTATTATTTCAGTAGTAATTTGGTAATATTTTGAAAATTCATGTATTTTAAATAATCGATATAAAAAAATTCATATTTTCTAAAAAGTCCTACTTAATATATTTTTTATTTGCTAAATTATATCATATGTTATATTTTATACGATCTAGGAGTTTTCTCATACACATTTCAAGATATTTTTAGTACATTTGCTTGTAATTATAAAAATGACACATTTTTTAGACACTTTATAGCACAAGGTAATTACCAAAAATGAAATGGTCTTATACCAAAAAAAAATGAAATGAAATGGTCGTTGAGGCACAAAATCTACGTGAATCTACCCATGGGCTGACAGTTTTAAGGAAAGGAACGTAGTTAAAGTTGCTGAATTTGGTAATAAAGGATCACAAAGCTATAATAAGAAATCAATGTTCCAATTTCGCCAAATAGAGTTATATAAATTCATTTTAATTACCAGAAAATGAACCTACAAAAATATATATTTTATGAACATAGGATGCCATGCAAAATCCTCGATCACCAAAAAAAAACAAAAAAAAAAAACAAAAATAGGAATATGGAGTTGTGAAGGAGACATAGGATCTGATCTGATAACTGCGGGATCTTGTCTCCTCAAGTCAAGTGTCTAATAGAAAATGCACAGATTAGCGTATATATTTAGTTTTTGTAAAAAGCTATATATGTGCATTAATATTATATATATATATATATATATATATTCATTTTTTATATTTAGTTTTCCCGGGGAATGTTTCGATATGAAACCCATAACGGGTACTTCTCAATGCAAAATATTATGAACCCTAACCCAATTATGGAACACTGCTTCATACGTGCATCAAACAATTCATAGGATGTACCTTGACGTTGTTGATGAGAGAGTGGAGGCTTTTGAGCTTCCGGTGAGGCCAACGCACTATTCCGAGTTCCCGACAACGTTTCTTAAGAACTGTGAGACCGACATTCAGTTCTCCTTCGCTGCTACTGTGATCGATCGGTCTCTGAATATACTTTCTGATTTCAGACACATCCAACTTGTCTTGCCTCCTGTTCTTTGTGCTCTTCTTCTTCTTCCCCGCCGTCCTCTTTCTGTCTTCCCCGTTCAAGCTCACGCAGTCTTTCGGATCCGGTAATAGGCACGGAGAATCATAGGAGAAGCAATGATCTCAGCCGGTTTCAGTCGCGATGTATTGGTTCACCGTGTTCGTATCGATCTGGAAATCAGCGCAGAGGGATGAAATGATGTTTCCATCGATGTCTTTGAACGGATCATCAAAGCCAGTTAGCTCAAAATCTCCATTTCCGTCATCGGAATTGATCAGATTCTCCAAAGGAGGCAACGTGCATGCAAAAGGAAGAGATCTTACTGCAGTGAACATATACCGAGGATGGGCGATTTTAAGCAATCAAACATAGTCAAAAGAGAGAATTAAATTGATTTTCAAACTGAGAATAATGAATTTTTCGTCTTTTGCATTTCTGGATTCAGTAACCAATGATCATATACATTGTTCAAGAACAAAGGACAGAACACTAAGCTGATTCACTCTGCGATTCCGAGTCTTTGATGGGCAACGAGGGGAAAAAGATGCAAACTTTTTTCACATTGTGGTTTCGGTTTGTCCGAATTCTTGGATCGTCCTTGCTGCCAGCGTAAGAACATCTACAAAGGCAGAGAACGATGCACGAAGAAACCTTGCCTCCGCTGCTTCAAAGTGCCTGTGGATTTCACCAAGATCGCATTTATCAGAAACTCAAAGCCAGAAAAGGAAACAGTATTGGTACTGAAACTCAAGAATTCACAATCCTTTTAGGGTTTCAGAAATCGGTATTGGTGGTCCAATGGGGATTCAAAATCAACAATGAGATTGCAACTACAGAAAGCCATAGACTCACACAGAAAGCTTGCTCTTAGACACCGATATCAGCCTTCTCACCTTGTCTGGTTGCAACTGCAATGCCGAAACAGAGAACTCGTAAAGAAGCCAATAATAATCTGACACACAAATGGAATTCTCTTAAGAAGCTCAACCTCCTTATCAACGGCCAATGCCGTGTAAGCTATCAGAGCATGTTCTTCCGACTCGAAATTCACATCCAGGTCACTGCAGATGCAATAAGGCCGGTACATAAAAAAGACAGAAAACTTTTGGATAATGGAAAATGCATAAACTTGAACACCAATATGATACATTGTATCCAGATCAAGCAACCTTAGTGCACAAAACTCGATAACATCATTGAGACGTGCCTGTAGTGTTTCCAGGACAATAAACCCTAAGCCCTACAACTGAAGATGAACAGTTTCGAGAAATTCACATTCACATGTTTAGTCTGAACCTCTAAAAGCCTTTCAGACAATCAGAACAACTGGTTAACATACGAAACAAGGTTATCAAAGTACTTCAAAGGAAACCCAGATACACGAGAGAAAGATCGGAGGCTTTCGGGCATGGGCGATCGAAATTCCTCGATATGCCACGGACCCAAGATTCAGGTAATCGAATCCGTAAGATTTGCCATCGGATAAGGAGCACAGACACGACAGACAACCGATTAGGAAGAACCAGAGCAGGCGGACAGCAATTACGAAGAGCAAATTAGACAAACGGAAGAATTGAATTGAACGTCTCAAACCAGATGGAATGAAATGGAATTTACAGAACATACCAGCTGAAATCCCACTGGGTTTGATCAGGAACAGCAGCAGCCATGTCGGTTTCTTCCTTCCTTCTCCAATGGAAGCTCCCGTGACGTCAGAACATCAGGGTTTTCCTGGGCTTATGCTTTCGGGCCCAGGAATTTACAGAACATAGATATATACATATACATACATATTTATGCCTACATATTTACACACATATGTACAAGACAAAATATGTGCATATTTCGTTCAAGCATTTAGTCGAACAGATTTTATGCGCCACTAAAATTTGATCAAAACCCATAAACATAAGAACAAAATCGTGAATTATAAAATATAATTGAAGCCCAAAATTATATGATTTCACGAAAAATTATATCCAAAATTCAAGAACGAACACTAAATCAGAAAGTAGAAAGCCAGCAACCTTTTCGAAATGAACAGAATAACATGTCAAAATTTAGATTTGCCTTTTCGAAAATGAAAAAGTAGATGAAACTCGACAAGAATCACAAATGAAAACGTTGTCCGAGAGGTTAGAGAATAGGGTAAGTAGAATTTGGATTTTCAGAATTAAAATAAAATAATTATTGTATAGTAGGCTAATTTATTAAGCCTATGGTTTTAATGGGTTTAAACCCATTAAATAAAAATGACCGAATAATTGGTCCAAATATAATTATTAATGGGTTGGGTTCCCTAACCGTGTTTTATTAAAAATATATTTCATTTCTTCTATTAAGCAATGATAAGTCACGGAGAAAGCTTTGCAAAGCAAATGACAAAAACAACCCGAAGCTTCTCCAGGCTTTGTCCTATTACTACTGCTGCTACTGGAGGGGTTAATGTGTGTAGAGTTTATATACTATTTTACCGTTGCAACATGGTCCTTGGTTTCCGCTGAATCTCATCGGCTGCATTTATGTTCTATAGAAAACAAGGAGCCTCCGACGAACATTGTGTTTAACCGCGGAAACCCGAGGTTGAAGATGATTTAGCAACCGAGGTTTCTGCAAACGACGAATCAAACATGATCTTTCTGATCAGATCAAAACCGCAACGAATGTATATTCTACTGAAAAAAGGACATGAACAACATCAGATGTCAATCTCAAGAAAAAAAATGAACCTAAGACAAGGATCAAAGTTGTCTGAAGAGTTATTTCTCTCAGAGGAAATGACAGAGAGAGGGGGAAAGAAGCTAACCTCACAAGTTTTCTGCAGCAAAACTGAAATTCTTAGGCGGAAGCAATCGCCGTTGGAATGCTTTCACACGAGGAGCTTAATGGGGACGAAGGGCATTTGAAAGTTCAGTACTTTATGAGCCCAGGACCTTGAACCTTCCCGATAACCGATTCTATGGTTCCTTCAAACATATCAAAACTTTTGGCAACAGCAAAACCGGCATACATACCGTCTACTGCTGCACTCACGATGCCACCGGCATAACCAGCTCCTTCACCAACTGGGTATAGCCCTTTCAAACATGTACTCTCGTACGTTTCATTGCTACGAGGAATCCGAACAGGAGAGCTAGTCCTTGTCTAATTGAAAAGCATGGAAAAAAGTTTCCACTTATCTCTTTGCCTAATACGAGATTGGTGTGGCAAATGTATCAAGGACAAACGAGCAGTGAGGATACATACCTCTACGCCATGGAGAAGGGCTTCTTTTGAAATGAATCCCGGTAACTGAAAGTTTTGAGGGTTAGAAAATTAGAAATAATTGCGTATTTATAACATTTGGAGGCGAAAAAATTAAGTACCTCTTTATCAAACATTGAGATAGAGTGTCTCAATGATTCAGTTATATGAGCAGGAAACAGCTCATGCAGATTTGCAGACTTCACTCCTAACCGATAACTTGAAGGCGGTAAAGGTGTTTCTATTAAAAAGACGAGATATGTCGGGTTAGCAACTTGAATAACGAAAAAAACATAAGAACGTGTATTTGTTAATGCCATCTACCAGATAACTTTTCTTCCAGAAAATCAGTTACCCTCTGCACAGGTACTGCGAAATTCCCACCACCCATTAATGCTGCTCTCCTTTCAAGCTCTCTCTAGACAAACAAGAGAAAAGAAAATATAGCAATATCAATGATACCATTAGTGACAAGATTTTTGCAGATAAGAAAATATAGCATGAAAAGCATGGATACCTGAAACCCAACACCCGCTAGGGGTCCATGAAGATTCAGAACATCAAAGTCCTTTGATGAAACGGAGACAACAAGTGCAGCATTAGCCCACTTGGACGAACGCCGAGAAAAAGACATGCCATTGATACAAATTTCGGCAGGGTTTGTGCTGGTGAGAACAACCTGGCGTTACCCACATTAAGGAATACAATCAACTCTATGCATTTGACATGGAAAACCCCATTGACGGAGGTAATAAACCGGAAATTTCAGACATTCCTAAGAATCAAGCCACTTATAAGTTATTCAGTAGGATTGTTGGTAAAGAAAAAGGACAAAATGCAAGAGATATGAGCATTTTCCAGGCTTCAAAGAGGATGGAATCCATACCTGACCACCAGGGCACATGCAGAAGGAGTAGCAACTTCGTCCTGGAGATTGGGAAAGTTCCTCATCCTTGCTATTTACATATTGGACAACTTTATAATCTGCCACTGGTACTTTTCCTCGTCCTTTATGTACTTCGTTGGCCAAGTCTGAGTACTGTATGTGTGTGTGCATGTGCGTGTGTATAGAGAGAAAATATCACAAGTTGGTTGTATGAACAGGTAGAAATACTGAACGACCACACAAAATTTTGTATACAGGTAAACAAACCTGTATACTGTTAATTAGTTCTTGAGGATGCTCAATGCGCAATCCAACCTGGTTTCAGGAAAATGAATAACCATCAAATTACAAAAGCATGCTATCGAATATATATGAGGTGTACAATTAACCAAGCTCACAAATTTCTTTGGTACTTGTGCATGTGCTTGGTGTTCACGAGGCAATATATATGATGATTATATGTCCTCATGCGTGCAAGAAACAAAGAATGAAGTTGGGCCACACAAAAGGGCATGAACATCTTCAGATACATTGATTGGACATAAATATTTAAAAGATAACATACTGTAAAGATTATAAATAATGGAACTCACAGCAAAATCTTTCGGAACCAAGTCCAAGTTATGAGAAAGAAGCATCTCATATGTGTCACGTGCCGAATGACCAACTGCAAGTACAACTGCATCAAATTTTAAGCTCTTGCAAGTGTTCTGCAATTGGTTTGTGGAATCTGAAACCCTGACTCCCACGACACGTGAATCTTCTACCAGCAGATCATCTACCCTTGTCCCAAACTTGATAGTGACCTAAACCGTTTCATACAAAGGACCTCGTAAGAAAAGCCTTAAAGTATCCTGATAGAAAGCGGGCTTCAAAATCAAGTTACCCTATAGACTATTACGTGTAGAACTTACTCCAATGCTCTGAAGATGTTCCCTGAAGTTTCGGAGTAATGGAATTAGTCTATCTGTTCCAAGATGAGGCTTTCCATTTACCAAGATATTATCTGCAGCACCAAAGCGAGCCAAAGTCTTCATGACCTGTAATGACAAAAGCCACAATCACTTTTTTTTCATCCCTAACCAAAAAATAAGATCTGGTAAGTGACATTGGTTGTCTGAAACTCCTCACAGCTAAAACACTGGCACTGTTTCTCCCTATTCTGGTCACAAGCTTTCCGTCACTCCATGTACCTGCACCACCCTGTCATGCATAAGTTTTTAATATGACTCGACAAAAAACATTGCACTAGTTAACGAAATGGCACATTGCACTAGTTAACGAAATGGCATGGCAGAGACTGAACTACTGCTCATGAGGTAGTGAAAAGTATCAAGAAACATCATTTAATTGGCAACAATAACATCAAATGTTATAAAGAATTTTCTGGTAAGAGAAGATTTTGACCTCGCCATAGCAGAAATTGCTCTCACGATCCAAAACCCGACGAACTACCAAAGCACCTATGTCACGTCCCCTTTCATCCACTGCTCGGCCTCTTTCAATGAGTGTCACATCTGCACCAAATTCCGCAAGGACAAGAGATGCAAACAAACCAGATGGGCCACTTCCAACAACACATATTCTTGGTTTTCTTCTTTCCGGGCGATGGATTGACTCTCCAGTGCCATTAATCCTCTGAGATTCATATCCTCCTGACAAGACATTGTTTTCGACTCTTCTACAATCATGTACTAAACTGACCAAGTCACCGGAAAAGCTCTTCTCAGAACCCAAATGTTCAATAAGCCCAACCTTGGGCTCCAACCGGGAGATGAAGTCATGAGTACGAGGTTCTAGATGCAGAAGCTTGTCCACATCCATGTCAACAGTATACACAAACTTGGCTTCCTTCAAAATCTACAAGAGGTCATCATCACTTTCCTGAGATATATAACAATCCTACAGACACATATGCGCATACTGAACATGCATGCCGAATCAAACCTACCTTCCTCGCATCAAAAGATTTCCTAACGACTGTAAATGCTTCCTCTGGAAGCATTGAAGCAACCTGAAAAGCCCAAGAACAATCACGAATTCAATCAGGACAGAGAATTTTCCATGCATTTCAATCTATTGGTAACAAAAATCACGAGAATTTAAAAATGTCTTCCTCCTTCTAAACTCACAAGCATTCAACATCAACCCACACGCACAAAACTCAACCCCATAGCCTGAATTTACCAAGGTTGCATCACATAAACCTAGACCATGTGAAATTCAGCCAAAAAAAGACAACTCTTGACCACTGTTTTTCCCTTCCCTTTTCATTGCTCGCAATAAAAGCGGGAACTTTACCGGAAACTCGATAGCTTTGGCGATGGCTTGAAGCAACCCATCGGAGATACCGAGAAAATCTTTTCCTGGGTCATCTCCGACAGGAACTCCGAGCTTAGAGAGCCGCCAAACTCCTTCAAGCTTGTTCTTCACCATCGCCACAGCTTCTTTCTGCTTCAATCTCAGCTTCTTCTTCTCCGAGGGGTACCTCCGTTTCCCAGTTCTCTTCGCACATTGAATCCGATATGTATGGAGACGCGGATATGAGATTACTAGTCTCTGGAATGGAATTCGTAGGTCTTGATTCGAATGGAGAAGAGAGGAACCGAGGAAACTGGCTTGCAAGAGAGACATATCAGAGAGCGAGTAGGAACAATTCCTGAGATATTATCCTATCATTTGAAACATCTGTGCTTAAATTTATATATTACCATCGTGTGTGTATTACGATTAATCCCAAATTTTATTTTAGGCCAACAATATCGAATTGTGACATATAAACTAATTAAAAATATAAAGAAAACATTTAAATCATTGCTAATGGAAATTATGAATCAAATATTTATTTTCCTTAAAAATATTAATATTTCGTAACAAAAAATATAGGTTTTGTATATACACTTTATATAAATATATGGTTAAATTAATAATATATAATAATAATAATAATATCAAATTAAAAATTATATATACATATGTATTTAATAATTAATAATATTATTGATATATTATATTGACTTGATTATTTGAAACATAATTGATTGCTTTGTATCATTGAAATAAATTATATATCTAATACATTTAAATCCCCAAATGCATTATTTATCAATATCTTAATACTTTTATCCATAATATCTCTTATAATTTTTTTAGTTCAACATGATTTTTTAGATATTAATTTTTTTTATTGAAATTTAAATTTGGTTACGACAACAAATTTTACAATTCTTTTGATATTCTTCCCAAAACTCCTACTGATTTGATTACAACAACATTGAAACCAGCTTTTCCGGTTAACGGCTTAACCGAAATCAGAACCGGGTTTTTTTTATCCCGGTAAGAAAACAGATTGGAGCATGAGGGTGTTTAATCCGCTTCCCTCATTCCTCATCCCCTCGCTTTCTGCCTGCAAGCTTATCTTCTTCTACATCACCCTAGTACTGTAAGCAAAGGCGCCTAGAGAAAACCCTTATGGCGTCTCTTTCAATGGCTTCCTTTTCTCTGAGATTATGCCCTTTACGTTCCGCGTCGATTGGTGTCCCTCACGGGTATGTGCAACTCGCCCGATTGAACCAGGTGGGTAACTCGCTGAGTCTTAGCTCCACTCACTGCATTTCTGGGCTTCACGCGGTTGTTCCTCAGAAGATTTCCACCGCTGCTCCTCCGAATTCCCAGAGGTTTCAATCTCTTACCGTTTTCGCTGCCAAGGGCTACAAGATGAAGACCCACAAGGCCCCCCCCCCCCCCCCCTTTTCAGTGTTTGGTTACTGGGGGAACAGATGAGGAAGGGAAAGAAAACAAAGATGAGTCTGAGAAATTTCTTGCTCTTCGCTGCATAAGTTGGGAGAGATTACTATACGAATTCCGTCTCTGTTGTGAATTTGAAGTGAAAGAACAAAACTTTGAGAAACTAGAGGTCCGAAATTGGGATCACTGACTATTTGGACAATGGTAGCTTCGAAGATCAGTTTCTTTTCCCTTTAGAATTATTATGTTATATCCTTTTATCCATGAAGTGTATTAATCACTTGAATACACTTTTGTTTAGTTTGATATGTATTGTCCTAATGGCATCGTGATGAAGTTTGTAACTTCTGGTGCTCATAAACAAAATTGGTCTAAATTTGATGCAGTTAAGAGTTACTGTAATGAAATTGGATTACTGATTGTTTGAATGAAACCTTGCTTAGCTACCAAAGTAGCAAGCTTTAAAGTAAGACTGTGAGAAACTCATTTCTGTGACTTTATCACTCTTGAGGGTGAAGCATCTATTCATATGGGTTTAGCATTTTGTGGATGCCAGGCCTCGGCTAAGCGGTTCACAGCGGTTCAGGGTGACTGGTAGGGGGAAGATAGTGAGAAGGAGAGCGGGAAAGCAACACTTGTTGGCTAAGAAGAACACCAAGAGGAAATTGCGTCTCTCGAAAATGGTTAGTTTTCTTCGGCGAGACCTATTTCTTTCCCAGTTCTAAACCATGGCCTCTCTCCATTGGTTGATTGCAAATATCTGTTTTCTGTGAAATGCATCGTTTTGTTCTGCTGAAAATGTTCATCAACCCTTTGAACTTTGAAAGCTAGTGGTTTATATTAAAGCACTGAACTTCAGCGGGTTACCCATGTGCGACTTTAGTTGAATGTTTAAACTCAAGGCTCGAAGCCTTACCCGAGGGAGAAAAAAAAATCTAGAGGTCTTAGCGAAAAGGAAAGACGAATGATTTGGCAGATGCGAAAAACTGAAATGCGAAGTTAGTGATGAAGATGCTATCGCCATGGGGATCTTTTCCTTCAGCTGGTTGTTAATGTCTCTTTCCCATGAGTTTATTGGTTCATGTGTCTTCTGTTGAATGTTGGGCTATGAAGCAAAAGGAAAGAGGAATGGACCATGGTTGGGTTGGCTTGTTAAGCTATTTCAGTATGGAAACTGAGTTTTTCGAGAACTGGGTCTGCATTAGAAATGTGCTTTAGGGAGAAAGCTGTTCTCTTCAACCAGTTGTGACAGAGAACAAAACACACATTATGCCAATCACTTGTTTGGTTTTCCCCACTAGTTGATATCACTGAAATGCATCTATGAACTTCAAAAAACCAGAGGGAAGCAACATATACACAGAGGAGCTCTCCCTATGAACATCCTTCATGATCTCTCTCTCTCTCTCTCTCTCTCTCTCTCTATCTTAAGCTCATCATGTTCTGTTTTCTGTGGATGCAGCACCCTGTAAGCAAGAGCGACTATGACAACGTGATTGGTGCATTGCCCTATCTGAAAGTCAATCGAAACGCCAAGTAAGAGCATTTTGGTATATTCTTCGTGTTTCTCGGGTTTAATGTGAAAATGAGTGAGGAAAAACATGGAAAGGAACACACGAGTTGCAACATCCTTTTGTAATAACATTTGTCAATGATTCATTTCGTGTTTGGTTCTTCTTCTTCTTCTTCCTCCTCCACACGTTTACTTGTCTCCCACGGCACATGGATCTAGGGTTGGTGAGAATCAGAAGAAGAAGTGATCTCTTAGTTCTTTTTTTTTTTATGAAACAGTTTTGAATGTGACAAATGTTTCGTGTCTCTTCAGAATTTTCTAGTGTTTAAGAGATAATTGCGGCTGTGATGATATCACATGTGCCAGCTGTTGCTTTTGACAATGAGAGTTCATTATAAATGTTATATGACCTTTTTTTTAAACAAATCGGAGTATAAAATGACTAAATTATTTATATTTGATAGATACCCTTAAATTTATGAATTTCGCTTTTTCTAAGCTATATTTTTTTTATAAAGAATGATATCTATTTAGTATGTTATTTATTATTATTTCTTAAATATAGATAATTATTAAAAAAGTTTTATAAAATATATAAAATTGTATAACATCATAGTAGTATTTATGTTAATATTAGAAAATAGAAATTAACAATTAAAAAATAAAATATTTATATTATGGAAGGGACTAAACACGTTTTAGAAGCAAATCCTCCAAACAGAGAGAGATTCAAAACTCCTTCCTACGTGTCAAACCGGCTTATTACCTGAATACAAAAAGGAAATGCTAAATGACGAAAATAGCCCTGCTTGGTAGCCAAAACGTATTGGCTAATTTGAGAAGTTTCTCGCGTTTTAACTTTGTTACCGGTCAAAGGACGACCCGCGCGTGGAGTCAATCGCGGGTTCCTCGCGTCGCTCAGCCGCCTAAGAGAATCTTCATTTTCCCCTTCGCGTTTAAATCTTTCACAAATCGGTAGATCCCCCTATCGATTGTTAGGCTGATCCTAGGGTTTTCCTTGATTCCCGTAGATATTTCCGTATCAACAGCTTCTCTGGGAATTTTCGGATTCGAGATTTTCGTTTTCTGGATTTCCTCGGGATAATTTCGACAGGGTCTTTATTGGATGGTGGAGTTGATGAAATCGGCGGGGAATCTGAGACCAGAGCCTGAAACGGTGTCCAAGTGCCGGAACGAGTTTCCGGTGAAGCTGGAGATCGCCGAGGATTTTCTGGAAGAAGAACACGGTGTCCCCAACAAGCGTCCCAAGGTTTCTCCTTCTCTTCATCAGGTACATCTGATCTGTTTGGTTGCCTAGAAAATCTGATAGCAAATCCCTTACCCAATGTTTGACTGATTTGTCTCTCAACGGCTAGATACATTTTGGTGATCAAATGGCTCGTTAGCTTATCCCTGCAAACGGGTTTAGGTTGTGTCATGAGATTGTGGATATCTGCCGATTGGAGATGTTTTCCGTTCCCCTTTTTTTGATGATTGCCATGTGATTCTTGTCTGTTTTCGTTTCTCTTCAATCCGTTTGTTGGAAATGGTTTTTGCTTCTTTTTATCTGTTTTGTTTTGCAATGAAGGAGTCATGTAGCAAAAGCATTGGCACAAGCGCGTTTCCTGTGCAACCGGCACAATATAATCCGCTGGATGAGCCAAGTCCCCTGGGACTGAGCTTGAGAAAGAGTCCATCTCTCGCGGATTTGATTCAAATGAGGCTAGCTCAAGGTAGTGGCCCAAATTCTGTACCTATCGACTCTAAGAAAGACAGTAAACTTGCTGCTGCTCCTGGGACGGGTCCTTCACCAGGAGCTGCAGAAAAGCTAAAAGCTTCCAACTTTCCGGCTTCACTTTTAAGGATTGGGCAGTGGGAGGTGATTCCTGAAAAACTTTTGTTTCTTTTATGTTTTATGTTTTGTTTCGCATTGAGAACCTGATGTTGACTTGTTCTGTTTGCTTTAGTATAAATCTCGATATGAAGGTGATTTGGTGGCGAAGTGTTACTTTGCGAAACACAAACTCGTTTGGGAAGTGTTAGAACATGGTCTTAAGAGCAAAATCGAAATCCAGTGGTCGGATATTATGGCTTTGAAGGCGAACTGCCCGGATGATGAACCCGGAACACTGACTCTTGTGGTAGAATTCCTTCTCTAGTTCTTCTTGTTTGCTTATCGTGTGTTCCTCTTTGAAGCACAATGTAGAAGGGTTTAAATTTATCGTTTTCTTGTCTGTTCCAAGCTGGCAAGGCAGCCCCTCTTTTTCAGGGAAACGAACCCGCAGCCTAGAAAGCATACTTTGTGGCAGGCAACCTCAGATTTTACTGATGGCCAAGCCAGCACTCATAGGTAACATTTTTCTTGCTTTGTCGATTTATGTAAGAAAGACCTTCACAAAATGTTATGAAGAATTTGTTTGTAGCCCAATTTGATAATATTCTCTTTTGTGATCATGTAGACAACATTTTCTGCAATGTCCCCAAGGGTTGCTGAACAAACATTTCGAGAAGCTTATTCAATGCGATCATCGGCTGTTCCATCTTAGCCGACAACCGGAGATAATTGTGGATTCCCCCTACTTTGAGGCACGCCAATCTATTTTTGAGGATCCAGCTGAAACAAAAGGTCATATTTTTGGGCAATTAGAACTCGGCAAGGGACCTTCGATCTCTGGTTCTCAGAGTTTAGCATCTCCAGTTGCAGCTCAGTCATCATCCGAGCATGTGTCTCAAGACGCACCATCTCCTAGCTCAGGTATTTGCAATGGTTGGCATTCCATTACCCTTGCACGTTTATTAGCTTTAACATTCATTCTTGAGGTACCTTGTTGGAAGTATTTTTCTTCTACTTCTTTAAGTGTGGTTTATACGATCAAATTAAGTATATGGTGCTCTGTTTCTCTTTTATTAGTCATAGATGCTCGGGCAAATGAAAGCGGAGCTGCAGAAGCAGTTGATTCGAGGAACACAAGGGATTGGGACCAGATAAAAGTACCCGGGCTGAGACAATCTATATCAGTGAGCAATTTCATGAATCATCTTGAGCAATGTCTCTCGGATCCTGCTCGTGGGAACGAATCAGAACGCAAAGAGATACTGGACATTGCTCAGCTCTTGTTCAGCGAGACCCAATTCACCACATTATCAGACGAGAAATCCCTCATGACAAGGGTGAATTCTCTTTGCTGCCTCCTTCAGAAGGATGGCACTGCAGCCGGAAACTCACAGCTCAACGAGGAAAGTTCCGTGGGCTGTCCTGATACCGGGAAATTTTCCCAACCAAATGATCTGAGAAAGGGTCTACGTGATAACGAAAACCGAGATGAACATAAAGTTTCTGATCCCGAGGCAACGGGTGCTTCCAGCAGCAAACCGCCGGGCATTCCAAGGATAGATTCTTACAATGAGATTCTGTTACAGCTTCCTCGGATTGCATCCCTTCCACAGTTCTTGCCGTTCATCACTGGAGAAGATGGTGATGCACATAATAGATAGTGAAATCTCACACCGTTGATAAATTTGTTCTCAGTTATGGCAAGTCTAGGATCTGAAATGGTAGCCTGTGCTCATGTAAATCATTATGTTCTTGTAATTGCTAGGTTAAGTACATGGTGCTTATGCTGTACACGTTTTAAAACCCAAAGATGAATCCTTGTACGTCACCCTTAGAAGAAAAGATGCATGGAAATGTTTGTTTCTATTTCTTTTCTTTTTTTTTCCCCGTCAAACAACAACAAGTTTCACATTTATCACTATCAGCCCAAGAGACGTACTGTGTTTTCCTTGTTCTTTTCTTTTTTACAGCAGAAAAGGGGACAGCCAGTAACTTACTATGCACAAGGATAAAAATTAAAGTACATCAGAGTGATCAGCTGTACAAGAACATAAAGAGGAAAGACAGTGAAACCCGACACACCCACGAATCTTTTTTTTTTTTGGAATTAAAGTATTTACAGTTTTCTTTTTTGGTTTCTTCCATCATTTCTATCAGTGCCTAGAAAAAGCAACGGATCAGGAAGCTTGTTGATGAATAGCAGTGTCAGGAAGCATAGCTATGGTCACAATGAAGTATTCACATCCTGGAGAGAGACCATAAGGATTTAAGGTTGTTGATGATGAAGACAATGCCAATGTTGAAGAGCTTGATGTCATGTTACCAGAGCCCTTGTCAGATAAGAGCCGGTCAGTCTGATCGGTCGTATCCACTCCGGGATTGGTTGAAGCAGCCGCTGAAGATGGCTGGATCTTCACGGTTTGGCACTCGATATGTACAATCTGTCCAACTATATATACAGGTCGGGTCGGGAGATGATCTGTGAACAATGCCACTGATTCAGAAGACAAGAAGTAGTTTGAGCAGTTCCTGGTGATGGCTTCATAATGTCCTGTTGTAAGGTTTTGTACAAATGCTGCAATCTCATGAACTTCAAGACGACCAAAGGATATCTTTTCCTTGTTTGCCTGCAACACATTTTTTCATCAAATCTCTATTTCAAGAACTAAAAATACTCAACTTTAAAGTGAATCAAGCACAGAATAACCATTGTGATATGTAGGACTTTATAACTGCCATTATATCGGAAATAAGGAGATTGCCAATGACGAAAAGCCGGTCAGATGGTTCAGAACAAAGTTACCTGCTTCCCAAATTGATGTTTAGTATACAATGTCTTTACCAGCTCTTTCTTTTCTTCCAAGTCCTTTCTGAGCTGTTCATTTGCAGCTTCAAGCTTTCTGCCCTTCTCAAGTAATTCTTCACGGTGTCTGGAGAGGAAACTAACCTTGTCTGCAAGAACCCGGATGCACTTTCTGAACTCAGCAGTACCGTCATCATCTTCGTTTTCGTCTATGGAACTGTAAAAATTTCCAAATGCAAAGAGAGAGAAACCATAAACAACTCGGTTCCTTGTTAGCTTAACAGAGAAAATTCTTCTTGGCCATGAGCCGAGGAACTTACTTGGCCAAAGATTGAGCTAAAGAACGGAGGGGGTCAGCAAAACCAGCAACTCCACCAGCGACACAGACTGTGTTCCGGAATCTTTCAAAGAGGCCATGCATCTTCACAGCTGATGTGTGGAGGGAACTATACTCTGAAGCTCTCTGGTCCGCAGCAGAAAGATGGGTCTGAGCTTCTTCTCTTGCTTCGTGTAAGCAATTCTCCAAGTGGGCACAATTCATCTACACCAAAGAGAGAAACATTTTATCGAACTAACCAATAGATTTAACTAGGAATATGAGAGGAAGGAAAACATAAAACAGGAGAAAGAACTTCAATTATGTGCAAGGTGAAACCATATTGCATATTCCTTGTCCAGATGATTGATCGAGCAGTAACACCAGCACCAGGGAATGACGGCGTAGAAAATGGTGAAAAGAGAACACGTAAAATTGCGGACTAGCTTGCAAACCAGAGAGCTTTGGAGATGGAGAAAAAAAAATAAAAAAAAAAGTCCAGACCTGGGATTCATCGAGAAGCTTCTGACTCATTTCCAACTCTCTGCTTAGTCTGGCAACCTCTTCCATAGCATCATTAAGCTTGGATTCCGTTTCACGCAGCTTTTCCGACATGTCTATCATCTCATTTCTAAGTTCTAACAGATTATCACCGCTAAATTTGGGATGCAAACCTGGCTCGGTTGCCACAATACCCACATTATCCTTTCCACTCGGTAAGCTCTCAGCAGTGGAGCTGCTACCTAGGAACACACTCACATTATCCTTTCCACCTTTCTCATTGATTTGCTGAGGCTCCAGCATTGATGAGTCGAGCTGATGATTAAGCATTGAAGACGAATCCAGCATATTCTCATCCATACCCTCTCGAGCTTTACAAGGTTGTCTGTTGGAAAGATTTGAAACACATGAGACCTCATCCATGGGTTCTGTGGCAGATACTTGAATTAAGTTGGCTTCTGCATCAACCGAGGTTTCTGCTTTATATTCATTAGCTAGTGCATGCATAACATCTGGACCAGACACATCCTTACTGTTAATATGTCTCTGCCCCTGGAAAAATTCCTCTGAAAGACGTTCTTCCAGTTCACGGATACGCTTCTCATACGAAGCACAATTCATTTCCTTTTCCTTGAGCATAGATAGGAGATGTTTTTCATACTCGTCTTTGGCCTTCAATGCTTCTGCAGTCTTCTCAGCAGCTCTCTTCAATAAACTTTCTAGTTTACTGTCATCAAGCTCCTCATATTCCACTTCCGGGCATAGTGAACAAATGCGGGCTATAGCAGAAGCAAGGTCGGCTTTCAGTTTCGCATTCTCAACCTCCATCTTGCTGGTTCCAGCTATGTCTACTAATTCGCAGCCCTCTAAGATTTCATCATAATTGTCTTTGTCCAACACGTCATTAGCTATCTCCTCAGGCCCACCAGAATGCGAGCTCTCACTGGACATGGCCACTGAACTCCTTAAAGATGAATGCTTCGAGTGTAAACCAGCTAGACACTCAGGAGCATACCGATCAATATCTGTGATGTCAATGTTGAGCAAACTGGTATCATAAGGAGCAATATTGACATCACATTGTGTAGGAGTATCATATAACCCCATTGATGCCAGCACATCACGGGGTACATATGGACCGTGGGATTTAAGAAACTCTTCCCTTCTCCTGACCTCTGTCTCTCTTTTCGTTGCGAGCCGCTCAGCCAGCTGTCCTGCCATGCCCATGTACAGTTTCATAGATGCTTTTCTTCTCACCACTTCTGCAAGGCAAGCCCTATAAGCAGGGCCAATTCCACGAACTAACTTCAAATCCGCAAACAGGTCGTCTTGTCTCACCATTGCCTCTCTAAAGACAGGAAACTGTAACTTAGCATCTTTGATGATGTATGTGACATATGTTATTTTTTGCATATAGCTGTGAAGAAAGTTGTTCATCTCATCCTTCTTGTCCTTGCAGAAATCTAGCAATTCCGAAATGGAGTTATGACAAGCCTGCATTTTGGGAAGATGATTCTTGTCATGGACTTCGTACATAGGGCCCAGAGCTGAAACGACATCATGGGGACGGATGGACGAGGACATCGGGCAAGACAGACAATCATTCACAAGTTTCGTCACTGTATTGACATCTTTGCTGTGACGAGATTCATAAACAATTATCAGTTAACAGAATTTGCAATGATTTCATAAAGTAAAGGGTTTCATCTGGATAAAACCATCACCAAACAAGTATAGAACTTGACAAACAGAAGTTTCAACAGGAATTTCAGCAAAAGATTACTTCAATGAGATACTAGAAAGTATTCGTTTAAGCAATTCAGCGGGAATCTCCCACCAAATGCAACTAAGTATACTGATTTGCATGATTAGGCACTGATCTCAAACTACATAATTCTGCAATCTCTTTCCCATAGAAGCCAGAATCTAGTAATAGACAGAGGTAGAATGTTCGAAACATAAAAAGCATTCCAAGATACGAACATACCTAAGGGACTGCATTATGCTCTTTTGCTCATTAATGAACCTTTCATGATCCTTAAATGCCAATTCTAAGTTCTTAGTAGAGAAGGATGCCCTGCAAGCAAACAACTCTTCTACCTTGCGCTTGACCTCAACAAACATCTGCTGGAACTGTGCAATCTTATTCTCAAATTGCCGATGTGAGGTAGCACAATTCTCTGCAGCCTTCTTGAGACTATCTTCCTTAACAAAGTCCAATAAACACTTCCTGGAATCAGTCTGCAAAGCTGGATGAAGCTTAGCTGACCTCAATTTCTCGACATCCCTTCCAAAATTCATCAGTAAATCGGAATGGAGACGTTGTTGATGCTTATATCGCTTCATAAATTCAAGAAAGTTCTGATAGATAATCCGGTAATACTGGTCCAGATTTCGTGTAGCAACTTCCACAGCTCGCTCTTGCACCTTCTGCTCCCCGATTAACCTCTCACAAGTCTCATACTTCACAGAAGCACAACTGAAAATGGCACGGCCTTTGAGGAAATGAGACCAAAATAGCCTTTCGTACGAAGGTAAAGCCTTTAGCGCTGGATCCGATGCATCGTCCAAAGGGTGACGATCGTGTAATGAGGCCGGTGCTAAAGGGTCTGCAACTTCCGGAATATCAACTTCTTCCGGGGGTGGTGGAGAGTTGCTCTGTAGCCTAGCCTTGTTAAAAACAAACACTTCCCGATGGCTTGAAGGGAGTCTATAAGCAGAAAGCAGCTTTTGTGGCTCGAGTTTCATATCCAACGACAGAAGAAGCTGATCGTGACAGCTAATACCAGAAACAGACTCGACAAAACGCATCACAGCTTCAACAGGAGTAGTCTCGCTGCATTCAAGTTCAAAAGAACGGCCATTCTCGGCCACACAGAGAAGAAGCTTCCCATCATTAGCGAAGCTCTCAGTCAAGCTTGAACTCATCTTAGCCACCGAAAACCCAGAATTCTCCACCACAGAATCCCTAACCAAGTCAAATCAAGAAAGGCACCTGAATCTAATCAAGAGAACAGCCAGATCAAAGATCTTCACCTGGAAATTCGCCGACTAATCTGTAGAGGAGAGGAGCTTTTTTAATCTCCAAACCTAAACTAATATATCAGAATAACCGGAACCCTAGCGAATTTCCCAATCCTGATTGATTTTGGAAAAGGATTTAGGCCGACAGACCCAGCATCAGGACCTGACCAGGAGACCCACGAATCCAGACTCCGTGGACAGTAAATCGATAAATTTCCCCAAAACCCACCAAGGATTATCCCCAAAGCTCCAAAATTTCGGCGAATCGAGCACCGATTTCCCCGGAAAAAAAAAATTATATGACCTAATCGATATCCTTCAATCTCCGCCTCTTCTGCAACCTTCCGACCCAAGAGTTATTTTCGATAATAATAATAAAAAAGAATCCAACCCTAGAAGACGGAAAAACAGACATGAGACGACAAGCGAAAGCGATTGCGTGAAGAGACGAGTGTCAAACTTGGGAATTTTCCCATAGAGAAACAACCAAAAGGGGGGGCAAGTTCTCTTCACGTAATCCTTTTCACCACTAAATTATTTTCTTAAAAAATAAAATATTCTCATCTTCTTCGCAACCCGAATCTGCTACGTCTTCTTCCTCTTCGCTTCCTCAATAAATTTACCTTATTTTTTTATTAATGGAAATTTACACAGAAGCTTCAGCTGTAAGTAACCACCGCAACGCAGCCGAAGAAGAAGAAACCTCTGTCCCCTCTGATGAACAGAAAACGGAAGATAAGGCCAAATCTACTTTTGTGGGCTGCTAATCTTTATTATGTTTACATAATGGCCCCTGTATTTTCTTTTTTAGATCCACAAATGGTTACAATTGAGCCCCATATATTTTGAATCTCACAAAAATCTCCCTTTCTGTTCTATCTTGATTCTGCCACGTTGAAGAAGAGTCAAGTCAGTGCTTATACGAGAAACCGAAATGTGCCGTCAATGAAATTTTCATTTGATCCGATGACATAAGTACGCGTGTCAAACGAACCGAGTCGTTTTGGGTTCGTTCACCACGAACCGGTTCGTTCTAGATTCAGCTTACCATGATTGTTTTTTAAATAAATAAAAAAGCTCGATTTAACTAAATTCGTCGAGTTTATAAACTAAACAAGATCTTTTATAAATAAAAAATAAATATAATATTTTTATTTATATTATACAAATATCAAATAAAATGATATTTTAATATAAAATTTAAATATTAAAATATTAAACTTATATGTATAAAAAAATTATATATATAATCAATAAAAAAATTAATTTCTATAAAAGATATAAAATACAAATAAAAATAGAAAAAATATATATTTTAAAATACCTCAACTCACGAGTCTAACGAACTAATTTGACGAATTACGAGTATGTGGCGAGATGGTTTATTAGGTTCCGTTGCAAACAAGTTTTAAAATACTAGCTTAACATGTCTTATCACGAATCGATAACGAGTCAACTCGTTAACTAAACTTATTTGATAACCCTAGTCACAAGATATATTTCTTTAATTCAACATTTGCAATTTCTTTTCCGTCAATACGTTCTGCAACTTGTAAAAAACTGAATCAATCCATAATTCGATTCGTATCTAAATAAAAAATTCGGATATCTACAATTCACGGAGGGGATACGAATATTAGATTCATAATATTTTTCGGATATAGACATTAAAATCGAATTATTCGACATATCGGATCCGCTTCATATTTTTTAGTAATATCATTAAATATAGAAATAATCTGATATAAATGTTTAGAATGCTTAATGTTTGGATGTTAAAGATATATTTTCTATATATGGATGCTTTCAATACTTAGTTTTTTGAATTTGGAGGTTTATAATTTAATCTTTTAAAATTTGAATATATTTGTATGTGATAGATTATGTTTATATTTGTATTTGAATTGATTTAAGTTATTTATATTATGAATATAGAACTTTGAGTATCGTTTGTATTTGATTGATTATACAATTTATTTGTTGTTTTATAATTGTATTTATTATTTTTCATATTTTTAGTCGAATGGATATTTACAAATATTTTTGTTTTTTTTATAGATATCCTAAAACCGTGTTTGAGATATACCACGTGAGCAATTCGGTTAAAAAATTTAGTTTTGATTCGACTTGAACCAAATAACATTCGTTATTAATTTAGTATATTTTTAGAACCGAATTTACTATTTCTAGTAAATACCAAACCGATAAATACATAATATAATTTTATCTGATAAAACAAAAATTCGAATTATTCTATTATGTATGGATTTATGTGTAATATCAAGTTTGGTTCTTATGTGTACTCGTATAACCAAAACAAATCGAATCGAATTGAACCGATACCAAAATTAAACCGATTAACATTTGATTTTTAATTTGGTACAATTATTGTAAAACCGAAAAAAAAAAGGTTTCCAAACCGAATTGGACGAATACCGAATCTTAAACTCAAAACGACAACCCCTGAAACTAGGCCAATCACCCAAAGAGGATGACGAGAGAACAGCCGCTAACAAAAAATATCGATCTTTCCTTCTCGAGATGCGTGACCGGGTATGTCAGTTTCTGACGTCACATCCACGTTTTGTATTGACCTCCTCCTTTATATTTGCTAAATGATCTTCGTTGTTGGATGAGTGGTTCAACCATGGCGAAAACCAGAGCGACCCCTTTCCTTCCCGCCCTGATCTTTCTCACCCTCTTGGCGAATGCCCATCTGGGCATCTGTGTCTTGTCCCGACAACAACAAGACAAGGTCTCTAAATTGCCTGGACAGGATTTCAATGTTAACTTCGAACACTATTCTGGGTTTGTCACTGTCAATGAGAAATTGGGAAGAGCTCTATTCTACTGGTTCTTTGAAGCCGTTGAGGATCCTGATTCTAAGCCTCTTGTTCTCTGGCTCAACGGAGGTTTGCAGAGAAAAAACCCTAATTTTTAATCACATTTCGTGTTTCTCTCCTTTTTTTTCGCCTGTGCATCGATGAATCTGGCATATTTTTTTCATGGCCATTGCTTGTAGGAAGTCAGAGCTCCGGCTTTTAGGGATACATATCTTCATGATGATTAGGGGCTTAAGCAATTTTTGGGTTTTCTCCATGATTCTCCATGTGAAAAAAGCAGTGATCTTTAAATGACTGCTTTTTGTTACAATACAATGGATCCTTATGTATTTGCCTGATTCCTGTATCTTGTTGATTTAGTGATATGCTTACGTCTTTACTCCTTTATGCGCTCATGTTCACTATAGCTATGGATAAATAAATGTGTTCTTTGACTCGTTCGAGGGAATAATTTGAAGTTTGAACATGTAGTTGGGCTCTGAATTCTTTTTATTCCCTTGCCTTTTTGTGTTCTTATTCCTTGGAGAGACCTCAGAAAGAAATGAATATTCCTAGAATCTGACAGCAATTGATCCCGAGCTAACACATATGATTTCGCCTCTTTAGGACCGGGATGTTCATCCATTGCGTTTGGTCTAGCAGAAGAGATAGGACCATTTCACATTAAGCCAGATGGGAAGACCCTTTACCTTAACCCGTATTCTTGGAATCAAGGTAAGAAGCAAGCTGTATGAGTCTTCTGGTCAAAACCCCAAAGACCATGTTTCAGGTATTATTGATGATGTGGTGCTTGTCTTTCGAAATCTTAGAGCTTTCTTGTTGTCCTTTTGCAGTTGCCAATGTCCTGTTCCTCGATGCACCTGTTGGGGTTGGGTATTCGTACTCAAACACTTCCTCTGATTTGCTCACCAATGGTGATAAGAGGACTGGTAATGTTTCATCTTCTTTCCTGTATCAAATTGCTTTAAAATGTTTCCCATTTCGTGTTTCGATGAGTTAGTTGTGACACTGCAATTTGCAGCCCAAGATTCTCTGAAGTTTCTGCTGAAGTGGTTAGAGCGTTTTCCCAAGTACAAAGGGAGAGAGTTTTATATAGCTGGGGAGAGCTATGGAGGTAGAACTTTTGCCTCAGTGACATATCTTTTCTTCTTTAACGATTCTTTTTTATAAATTCTTGTTGCTGCTTTCTGTGCTCTTGTACCAGGGCATTATGTTCCTCAGCTAAGTCAAGCCATTGTAAGACACAACCAAGCTTCCCAGGAAAAAACTATTAATATAAAGGGTTACATGGTGAGAACATGCTCTTATCAATTCCTGTGGCATATGTTATTTAGTGGCGAGTTAACTCAAGGATCTCAATCAATCTGCACTCCATTCCAGGTGGGAAATGGCCTGATGGATGACTTCCATGACCAACGAGGTCTCTTCCAATATATTTGGTCACTGGGTTTTATCTCTGACCAGACATACAACTTACTGAACCTTAGATGTGGTTTTGAGTCATTTACTCACCCCTCCAAGGCCTGCATTGAGGTTCTGGACACAGCGGACAAAGAAATTGGGAACATTGACCAATACAGTGTCTTCACCCCAACATGTCCTGGGAACGTCACCCAGACAAAGTTTTTGTTAAAGAAGAGACCTGTGAGTATCATTTGATTCTCTGCATTCTCCAAGCTTCAATCTTGGTATTTACCCTGAGATTATGGTTGGTACAGTGTGATTTACCATTTGTGTTGCTTAGATTCTCGGCCGTGTCAGCGAAAATTATGATCCTTGCACAGAGAAGCACTCTATAATGTATTTCAACCTTCCAGAGGTTCAAACGGCCCTCCATGTTCCACCAGAACTTGCACCATCCAAATGGGAGACTTGCAGGTACACCCATCTTCAGTGGCTTAGAAGTCGGTTTGTAGAATTTGACCTGAAATCAGTGGAGGGGTCAATTCAGCAATACCCAATACCAAAATTTGTTCTCTTTATGAGATTCTGACCAAGATTTTACTGCTTTTGCAGTGATACCGTGGGTAACCACTGGAAGGACTCCCCACGCTCGGTTCTGAACATTTACCATGAGCTTATAGCTGCTGGACTTCATATCTGGGTTTTCAGGTTTCTCTCTATCTCTGCTTCAATGGAAGACGAACGAAAAAGAATATTTTTTCCATGTTCTTCCAGTCTTTTTATTCTTTCCCATTCTAGATGGTGATGCTAAAAAAACTGTTATTTGTAACAGCGGAGATGCTGATGCTGTTGTACCGGTCACATCAACTCGCTACAGCATAGATGCTCTCAATCTTCGTCCTCTGAATCCATGGCGTCCGTGGTACATCGATGGCCAGGTAATCTACATATGCTCACAAATCCAGTTTTTGCAAATGTAAAATGACAAAGAATCTTGATTTCTCAACTCGAGCTCGGAAGTCATTGATGCACGAAATGTAAACTTTTTAAACGAACAGGTCGGAGGCTGGACCCAGCAGTATGTCGGATTGAACTTCGTTACAGTGAGAGGTGCAGGCCATGAAGTTCCTCTGCACAGACCGAAGCAGGCTCTTGCCCTCTTCAAGGCCTTCGTGTCTGGAAATTCACTTCCAATAACTGAGATCAACAATGGCGGCATGTCTGAACAAGCCAGTGTCATATCTGAACTCGTCAGTGACGAATGAGTTCTGTTTGACGTCACCATTTATGTTTGGGATAGTTTGTGTTTGAGCTGCGTAGAACACTTTGCTTTGCATGTATTTCCTGCACTCCATATTTTCACGTCAACCCATTGGTAATCTCTCCCATATAACTATGACAAAATGTGATGTGTGAGTAATGGATTTGATAAGAAAAAAATAAAGGGAAGAAAACATAATTCTGAACTGTAATAGTGTATAACTGCAATTAGATAAAACTGTCGGTTCTTGTTCTTCTTCCCCCTTGAAAGTTCTTGTCTTATGCCAGTTTCATTGATAACTTCTGATTACACGTTCTATTAGTTTTGGTGCACATGATCTGAATTGGTCAGAAGGCTGGCTCAGCTGTGAGGTAACAAAGCTTTCACCACATTATGCCAAAAACTGTTATTGATGTTTTGTTTCAAACTTTCATTTCTAAGGCGAGGTTAGGTTTATCGATGTTCTGGTTGGATTTGAGAAACCAGTTTTCGCTCGAAATCTGAATCAGTGATTGGAATTTCAGTGTTGTATCTGGATTTGTGTCTCTCCAACACCATAATGTACGGTGAGGAAAGGTGGGATAATAGGATTATTCATGCTCTTATTGATAACGAGTAATGCTGGGTGGAAGAGAAGAATGGTGTAAAGCCGAGACGTTGATTAAGGAACTGCATTGGCTATGAGCAGAATTTTCAAGTTTTCAGCACATTTATATATTCATGTTCAGAAAAAGGGTCATGTTGGAGCTTGGGGTTAAAGCCAAAATGTGGCTGAAATCGGTACGATCATGGCTCTTTTATGCGAAAAGTTGATGACACAGTTTATTTAGGGATCATGTTTGATTGATAGCCAAGTGGAAGTGGTTGGATATAAAGTCAGTTCTTTCAACCTTTATATACATTTGATCAGACTGCTAGCCAAAGGTGGAGACAAAAAGGGTGCTATTAGGACAACTGAAGAAGATAGATAAGTGATCAGATGCATATGGAAAATGCCAAAGGTATTTTCTGTCATCTGATATAACACCATTGTGGTCGCATATGGACAGAACATGGACTTCACAAAACATGTAATCAGCAGTTAGGAACATGCAAATTTGATGGCTTTTCAGTGTCTATAACTCTCTATGTTAGATGCATATGGGATGGATCATCAGATGGAGTAACTTCAGGGAGTGTCTTTGAAGAGAATGAAAGAAACTAGCACAGCTATATAACACACTGATAATGGCATACGGGATTTGAGGGAATGGCTGAAGAAGCTGTTGGCTTGGTGAAGGAGATGCAGGAAAAAAGGGGATAGTACCTTATAAAGTAACATAATACCAATTTGATTGAAGAAGATTTGTGCAGGAATGATGAGTTCCTTCTACAATGTGTTCTTTGTACATCAGCAAAACAGAAACTTACTGGATTTCCTTCAAACAGCATGAATAAAACTTGCTCTATGATTCTGAACCTCTGCATTTGATGTTATGGACAGGCTTGCTGATCTGTGTGTAGAGCCAGAGAGAAGTTCGATGATGTTCCAATTTCCTGCAAGCCACGTTCATGACTGAGCTGAATCTCTTCTGCGTTTGCAGCCTTTGGTATTCATCTTGGCTCTTTCACGGTTCTACTGGTCTACTTTATTTACAGGCCACCAAGAAAAAACTGAGTCAAAATTGCATCCCACACACGGTACACATCGATGCTTACGAGCCAGGATCAGTTGAAGAAGTATGATGATTCAAGAACTTCCTTCAAATCAAAGTTCCCTCTCTTTGGTACTGGAGGAAAGACAAGGTTCGGGTAAGATGCCTGGAAACTCTGTAATAGCTGCATTGAGAAAAATAGAAGACAATTATTATGTCAATAAAAACCAAGAGGGAACAGTTATTCATATGTAAGATCCAATACCTTCAATCCCACATACAAAAGTAAGAGGCAATTATTCAGTCGACAATTTAGGATGCATTTCATTGTCCATAATGTTTATGAAAGATCATCTTATGTTTTATCTGCATCGTAAGCTTCTTATCAGAGAGGAGTTACTGGAGAACTTACATCTTCAAGTACCGGTGTGTTGTAAAGCTCAACAAATTTCTCTCTAAGTATTCTGTTCATTGCATCAACATCACACGCATGTGTCCAATAGGAATCATGCACACCTGCAAAGACGATTATTTACACGGTATTCCATATTTTTTTTTTCAGTCATCGGTTTGATAAAAGAAGACTAACCCGCGAAGTTTAGGCCAGCATCTCGGCATGCAACAGCCGTCATCATCATGTGAGTGCCATCCAACGAGTGCACAAAGTTGGGAGGAAATGCAGTTCTTTGCTTCCTTACATCCACCTGAAACTTAAATCTTTAGGGCTTACCGAGATCACAAGAGCAGGATCCTGCTCATAGAAACATGAACAGAAAATACAAGAAATGAAACAGCACAAAAGGAAAAGCTTACCGAGTTACCCTCTCGCTGCAGAGCCAAAACCTGAAGTGATGTTCTTATCTGCATCCACAGAACATATACAACAATGATCAAATTACTCAGTCGAACGGGTATTAGCATATTAGTTCACACAAAGGGCTATGAAATATGAATGCATAAGCACATACAAGATGCCTTTCACTTCTGCAGTAGGGTTGCACAACAGGGAGTCCAAGAGGAGTGGTCCATCGCACTGGTCGGTTACTGGAAGCAATGATCTGTGAAACCCGAACAAAAAGATGAGAACTTTTACGCGTATCATCATCTATGTGTATCACCATCCATATGTATAATGGGAGAGGTTGAAGATAAGACATAAGAGGTAGGAACAAACCTTTGCACAATCACCGAGCCAACTCATAATGGCACGTGCGGCTTCAAATATCTCCCCAAGAGCAGCCAGTGTCACCTAATGTCAAGTAGATAAAACGATTAACATAATTGGTAGATGCCCAAGAAGAGACGAGAAGATCCACATCAGTGTTGTAACTCTTGTTACTTTTGCAGAATAGCAAGCAGCAGCAAATAACAATCTTTCATCAGTTATAACGCCTTTCTCTTCTAATCTTCTTTTTATTTGTTCACGTGCCCCAACATAAGTAACACCATACACTGATGTCATTACTGTCTGTTTCACCAACTTCCGATCTACCTGAAGAAACCCAAAGAAGAATCCAGCATCAACAGAAAGAATTTTTCTGCATGAATGTTAATTATCAAAAATACATGAGACTCACTTGATTGATGAGGATCTTTGCCAATGCAGCAGTTGGGTTTGTCTCTGGGTCCTTACTGCTGTCTTTCATCATTATATCATGAACTCTGTCCCATCACAAGCACAAGCAGAAGCAGAGAGAAAGAACCGTTACAAAATATGTGTCAGCCATGATGCTAGCTCAGAGAAATTCATCGACTTTACTTTTAATCCAAGAGAAAATTTGCTATACCTAAGAGAAATTTCAGAGTAAACATCAGCTGGTTTCTCTCCAGCAACTAGATTGACTGCGGCAGCTTCAAACTGAGAGAACCACATTCACAAGAAGATAACCATGAGCATGAATATATATGCCTTCAAAGAAGAGAAAGACAGCACAGATGCAAAACAGTTCACTCGAGAACCTACACTATCTCTTCCTAAAGCTGCATAGTGCTGTAGGCCATTGCAAGACCCATCCTGCACATACGAAAGAAGAAAGGAAAAAGACTGATGAAGATCTAAAGAATGATGAGAAAAGGGTGCACTGGAACTGTTTCACTCCTAATGACAAAATGGTATATAGTAAAATAGGTTTTGGAACATAAATGGGGATAAGAGGAATGATGGGTAATCAGACCAAAAAACAGCATTTACTCCGGGGACTAGTTTATTGTGCTTACTTGATGAATAGGCAAGTGGGAGATTACAGTATGTGGTGATGGACTTTTCAAGGCTTCTGTCAGATTAACACAAGCGGCTAAAAATTGAAAAGGATCTTCGGCATTTAACCACCATCGATTTCCATGAATAGGATTTTCAGCTGAACTAAATATATCATCCAAATGATTTTCCACAAAAGCTAGGCGTCCATCATGTGAAAGCTTTTCAACACCACCTGCATAGAGGTTTGCTAAATGTATCTTCAGCCAACGCAACCCTGATTTCCCTAGTGGTCGCGCTTCAGCAAACTCCAGGATTCCTCGGCAAAGATCAGAACTCAGATGATTGAGATGAGGATGCATTGGGTATGCACGTCCTCTAAAGTCAAGATTGTGAGGGTAGAAAAATCCCTCCTCATCTTTCATCTTTCTAGCCACCTGCACATGTAACTTCTGGTCGTATCTTGTGCTTGCTGAGAGAAAACAAACTCATATAATCTAGAGCCAAATCAGGATGGGTTTCTTACAGAAAGTTTGAGCTCAACATCACATCTTAGTGAGTGCCTCTCTCTGTTGATCTTGTTGGCCTTTCTTACACTCCATTTCCAGTCTTGAATTTCTTTCGGATCCTCTGAGGATGGTTTCTCTGGTATGGGAACCTAGTTAAAAAAAAGGGAACAATCATTAAACCACTTGTCCCATAGGGATGTCCTCAAAAGGTACAAATATGAAGAAAGAGTTCATATCTCCTTCATGTAGTCCTAAACATTCCGAGATACTCACATCTTCACGATTAACCAAGCCTGCAATGTTGCCACCATCAGCCCAAAGCCTTTCCACTACATCAAGTATTTTTCTGTTCACCCTCCACTTGGTGTTGCCAAGTGTATCCAATGCCTGTTCAAATTCCACGTCAGATATAATGCAGATATTACCAGACACCACCGAAGAAACTCATTACAAACGTACCTCGAATACCCTACGAGAAGTCTTGGTACTAATATTTCTAAGTGCATCTTGCTGTTTTTTGGATCCATGAGTACGCATGATATAGGAAGGCAAAAACAAGTAACCACCCTTGTCATAGCTGAGGAAAATATAATGAAGTTAATAAACACAACTGGTCCTTGACATAAATAAAATGCATAGATGCATGGTTTTCAAACATACAACATGACTCATTATATAAGGCAGAAAATCTATAACCAAATAAGCACAAGTTCAGTGAAGTGTATGTACCCTTTCCATTTCCTTGGAGGTACCAACATCGGAACATAAGGAATCAGCATATGCTTAGCCTGCATGAAGTAATGACAATGAAAGGTTACCAAAAAGAATCATGTGAGGAAGATCTTTTAAATTGGGAAAAGAGACATCATAACTCACAGATCTATCAAGTCCAGCAAGGAGGAGGGGATCACATTCAATTACTCCATACCTTCTAACCAGCTTTACCCTACAAGATACAATATTTCCAGAGTCAAATTAAACTTTGGTGGTCCAGAATAGAGCATTCATCTAAATAAAGAAAAACGAGTAACCTTCATGAATTTGCTGATTTTACAACCACAAACTTTGGAGAAGGACAAAAAAGAAGCAGAACAAGGTGAAAATAATGTATCTGAGCAGCCGATCGAAATGGTTAATGGAATGAATATGAAACTGAATGTGCTTTCGGTGGATTTTGTTTCTCACCCTGGATTCTTTGTCACAGTTTTAAACTTGTGTCTAAACGCCGGTCTAACATCCGGTGGACAGTCCGCTGCCTGAGTAAGGGGAGGCTGTACATAAGCTGTTTCCATAAGTAGTTCTAGCAGACGGCTTCCAAGCTGAAAAAGTGGCCGAGTCCAACACCGAAGACAAAATTTTATACATCATGGAAAGCAACATGATACGAATTATCAATTCAACTCAAAGGACTGAAGAAGCCATAAACCTTAGCTTGTGTGTCTCGTCCCCAAGGTTTGATATCTTCACTTTTCACCACCTTTAGTGCATCGATAAGCCTTTTCCTTTTGATCAAAGTATTAACACGTTTCCTAAGCAATACCTTCTCCTTGCTCAATCCATCTTGTGTCTCCCCAGCATTGTTCTTCCTAGTTTTCTCCAAGAAGCTATGAATCCTCAGCTGAGATCAAGCAAAATCAATTTTTTTGTCTCATGTTCAACATACTTGATTGAACTAAACAACATACTGATTCAACTGACTGAGGCTACAACTGAAGTAAAGAAACAAAGGATAAAAGTTGTTTTTTAGCATACTTCCTGCTCAATAGCCACACCAATACTGACAGCAGCTTGGACAACCTGGATACACCCATCTTCATGTCCCGACATAACCAAACCCATCATCTTGTGCATTGTAATGACCGCCATTTTATCAGCAGGCAAAAGTTCAATGTGAGGCGCATAAGCTGCTCTAATCTTCTTGCTTTTGTTCTTCTGCAACTTCTGCTCTCTCTCTATCGCATCCTTCAACGGCTGAAACCACCCCAAGAACAACTGTTTCACGTACGGCAGATTCGGTGCCAACTTCTTCTCGCACATTTCCCTCTCCAAATCTCTGTACTCAGTGACCATTTTCTCCCACGCCTCAGTCTCTTCCTTCACCTGTCGTCTCCTCAACGCGTCGAACTTCCTCTTGTCGATCTCCTTGCGCTCGATTTTCACCGTCTGATCAACCATTTTGTTCAGACCCTTCATAAACAACGCGGAAATCCACGGAGGGTCTTGCATAAACAGCCTCCCCCTGACCGAAATTCCGCTGCTTTCGATCGAATTCGACTGTTTTCCGAGGTTTTCGATGAAACCCCCCTCAATTAAGCCAGCCCCGTTGATGGGTCCAGCATAGGTGTCCTGCTTCTCCAAACTCTCGATGACATTATCGTGGAAATTAAGCGAATTCGCAGGAGGTTTCTCGCTAACGGACACAGAGGAAGACGAGGAAGACGAAGATGAAGCCGAAATCGGCAGGAAAGGTCGTTTGTCCGGCGAATGGTCGGAGAAGTGAAGAGCTTTGCGGGGGAAAACGGCGGAGCCAGGAGGTTTAAGCCAAGCGCCTATGGCGTTCTGGTGCTGAAACTGGGTTCGTTGGTTTAAGGAGAAAGACGGAGAAGCCGCCGCAGAGGAAGCCATTGAAGAGAGCTTGGGCTAGTAGAAGATAAGGTGTCAGTGTTATCACACATATGGAGAAGGGGAGAGACAGGAGGAAAGATTCGTGACAACAATCCAACAAACCTCTCTAAAACCTCTCCACTTTGGTTTTTTCCAAAAGATATTTTTTTTTTCTTTGCAAGGGAAAAACAGGCCAAGAAAAAAAAAGTAATACAGGAAATTGGAAAATCAGAAAATACAATGAAATGGGCTGAAACATGGGCCTCCGGAAAATTAAAGAACCATGAAACCAGAATAGTGACCCCTTTAGTTAACTGCTTTATGATTGCGATAAGAGCCAACACTCAAAAAACTCAGAATCATGTCGATACATATACGTTATATACATCATATATGGATATTCCTTTATAGAAAACAACACAGATGAAAGAAAAAACAAAATAACAATATCAATCACATTCTTCAGACTCGTTGAATCTCACCCTCTCTGTTTGCAGAAATATGAGTTAAAGAGTTTCAGAACCAGAAGTGAAGCATTGCCTGTCCAAAAAAGACATGTCTAGATTTGTTAGTACTGTATGAATTCTATGAGTGGAAACCGATATCACAGTTAAAAACGAAATACCTCTTGAAGGGTACGGGGAGACGGGTTTTCCCCGGGACGTAACTTGTTGTTTGTTATCGAAATCTTGATTTCAGATATCACCGAGATGAACTCTTCCTTTATTTGCTTCCATAAACTCTTCTCTCCACTGGTTTCAGTGACTTCACTTGTTCTCTCCGCCTCGAGCCGCTCTATTCTCTCTCTCAACCTCTGCAACTCGGCTCGATACTCTGCTCCATTCACAGAACAACTTACACGTACCCGGTCTCTTATCTGTTTTGATGGTTTCTTTTCCAGCCTTTTCTGCTTTGACACCATCTTCACTGGCACCTTAGCTTTCTCCTCAAATATGTCTTGATCGTTCGACCAGCTTTCAAAATCTTCACCCTTTTCCCCTTTCTCAGACACCGTTACAGAATCTTGCTTCAGCTTCTTGTATTTCTCTATCAAAGAATCTCGAAAGCCTGTAATCTCTTCAACCCTTTCATCCAGCTTCTTTATATGCTCCCAGTATGGATCCAAATCCCCACGAGGAGAACCGGAAAGAAATTTATCCGAATATTTTCCCGAGTCCACGCTCTGCTCGATAACACCCTTCTCCACGGGATCTGAGAGATCTAAAACTGGCTCGGGAACCGGTATCCGAGACATATCACATCTCGTATCACTTACTCTTCTACCAGAATCACCTGTATGTGCATACAATGACAAGTTATTCACCTTCAACCTAAGATCATCGTGCCCGGGAAAATCTCCCCATCCCGAGCTCAAAAGCTTGAACCTGTAAGCTTGGACTTGGTATTCAAGAGCGGTGATTTCGAGTTCTTTCTGGTGAATCAAGCCCTTCAGGAAATCCAGAGAGATTTCGGCGTGGTTGGCTTCCATTGCGAGCTTTTCCTTCTCTATCTGCAGCCGGAGTATCATGGCTAAAGCTTCGCTTGCTGATGAAGCTGACGCTTCCCTCTCCGCTTCCAACTCCTCCTGAAGTTGATGTATGATTTCCGTCTGTTCGTAAAGGGCTATCCTTAGATCCGTCATTCTTGTTCTGGACATGTTCAAGCTGTAACTTCGTTCAACCATGTCTCTGCATAAACTCTCTCTCCCACGATCAGAAAGAAACAAAACAAAAACTGAATTCTACGTTTTTCTCTCCACAAAGTTCACAAAAAATGCAGTTTATGTATAACCATAAGCCAGAATTAACGCAAACACAATCACTGCCATCGTTTTCAACAAAAGATACTGAGAGAAAATCTCTCCAAACTCGCGAAAGATGGAATCTTTAGTTACCTCGTAAAGATGCAGAAGAAGGGTTTTTTTGGCTGGCTAGATAGAGAGTCCCCGCCTCGAAGAAACGAAAGCTGAGAAGGATCAATTGATGGCTTCCATGAACAGAGTATATTTTTCAGGTCGAGAAGGAGATTTTTTTTTTTTTTGGTGGGTAAAATGAGAAAGAGAATTTGATTGGAAATATTTGAAACAAAAATGGTAAATGACAGAGAGACCTGAAATGGAAAAAAATCCTCTTTCATTCACACAAGACGCGTCCTGACAAAAAAAAAATCCCAAAACATTCGAGGATCATAAACAACGCAGGTTCCTCGAAATTTCTCCCTCTCTCTCTCTCTCTGAAAATACAAACAAACGGGTTTACTCAGAGACACTCAAGACCACGCCGATACGAATCTGTACATTCACAACTCCAAAGCAAGAGTTTTTATGATTCAACTGTAAGAAAAATCAAAAGGGTATTCATCAAAATCAACCCTTTGTCCTCGCAGGCAAAAGCCATTTGTCGCAGAGGAAAGGTGGTAAATTTTGGGCCTGGAGAATTTTGAATGATTAAAATGTGATTGAGCGTGGGACACGCGACGCGGATTTCTTCCCGTAAACTCTATTCTGAAAACTTTCTTTTGATCTTAGCTCCTGCCAGTAGGTAGAAAAAACTCGGATTTTGGATAACCGAACCGGTTAACGGATTAGGAATCCAGACATGACCGGGGTATTCAAGTTTGAAATACCGAAAGTTGGATTCAGGTCCGAGCAATGTAAATAATTAGTAGGCACATAATATAGTTCAACGATTCTCTCATTTATATATGGATTTTATATACAATATTAATTCAAAAAATTTTAAAATATTTAAATATAATTTTATTATAAATTATATGTGTGAAATATTTAATAGTGTAAAATTTAAGCTTTGTTATATGTGTAAAATAAAAAGTGTAAATAAATGGTAAGATATAAAAATGATTTTGTATAATAAATTTGGGATTAAAAATTGAAAGATGAATATAAGATTATGTTATGTAGATTTGTTTTAGATTTTTTAAAAAAAATAATTATTAATTGTATTAATTTATAAATTTAATATTATAAATGTAAAAAATAACTAAAAAATTGTAATTCTTAATGATAATAATTATAAAATTGTACGTAAAATATAATTTTAATTAGTTATTAAATATTAATTTAATATATATAATTATAACTCAATATTATTTTTTTTAAAATGTGGGCCTACGAAATTATGGGTCTGAATTTTATGGTAGATACAGATATATTTTTTTGTATACCCAATTTTGATCCGGTCTCTCTCACGTTTTTCAGTCGGATTATCCGAGATCGTCGGGTACCCGAGATTTGAATGTCCATGAGGTGTGGCAAGAACTCGCATACTCGACCTCTTTCCCGCTCCACCTTGGTTCGAGATACCTATCGGTACGGGTAACTCACCGGTCGAAACCCATATTCGAATTCGAGGATCGGTCACAACAGGAAGTATCCTTAAGGATATGTTGGAATGTGTCTTTTATGTTTTTGGGTTTTGGTCGTTGTGGGCTTTGGGCGTTTAATTCGATGGGTCATTAGAAGGACTAATTGGGCCTAAAGCCTGTCTTAGAGCCCTATGGTTTTTATTTTAATCGATTTGTCTTGTCACACATTCCCTCCAAGCAAGCAAAATTTTACTGATTCCATGGGATTGATGTTTTCGAGATCTATTTATTTGTTTGGGAACATTTTAAGAAAATATACGAATTGAATTATAGAGAGAGTGATTACAAGTTTATATCAAAAACTCGTAGAAATATAAAAATTTAGATATAATTTCAAAATATAGATTTAGATAGAAACTTTTTATGATTCTCTTTACAATTCAATTCGTATATTTTCGTTGTATCTAAATCTTTATATTTCAAAATGGGGTTATTATAAAAATTAACATTTCTTTATTATTTTGACTCAGTTGTGATCTTGTGACCACAATTATAATCTGGTCACATGTTGTTCATATCGGTCGTAACGTTAAATTTATGATGATCACACTAATTCATTATATTTATCTCTTACATATATCACTAATCATTTCATAAGAACATTATAAATTTAACGTTATGATTGTTGTGACCAACATGTGATCAGACTGTAATTCCGATCACAGAGTCACGATTGGAGAATGGTATGAATTAAAATCAAAATAGGAAAGTAAGTGTATTTTTGATATAATACCTTTCAAAATATATATCTTAAGAAAACTTTGTATCACTCTCTTTTTATTTCAAAATATATAATGGTAAAGAGAGTGATATAAAGATTAACATTTTAAGAAAATTTTTTATTAAAAAATCGTAGAAATATAAAGATTTGGATATAATTTCAAAATTTTATGATTATTTTTGCTCTACAAATAGGAAACTACATACAATGAAAATATACTATAATTTTGTTTTATCCACCTCGTAACTATATAACAAGAGAAATTAACTCTTTGATAGATAATGAAAGAGATACTCTCACAATACCTTTTGAGGTTATGAATGGCGATAGTGTTTCTTAGGGTTTTAGGTTTTAGTTTTTTGGTTTTGGTTTTTAGTTTTTAAGTTTTGGTTTTCATAGTTTTTACAGTTTTTATAAAGTATGAAAATCCAAAAAAACGAGTTTATAGTTTTTCTTTGAGGGTTGAATGTATTTTGAGTTTTTTTTTTTGTAGTTTTTACAGTTTTTATAAAACTTGATTGGTAGAAATAATAATTTAATTTTTTTATTTCTAGATTTTATATTTAAAAAATAACAAAAAGGGTTTTTTAGTATTGATATAAAAATAATGATTGGATTTTGTTTTTGTTTTTAGATTCTAAAATCCAAGAAAACTCTAATCATTTAACGCTTAAAACTTTTTTTGTGTGCCAACAATCTTCACACATTAACATACACACACATATGTATATATGTATAATGTAAGAGATATATTCATCTTACCACACGTATTACTCTCTCTCTCTCTCTATATATATATATATATATACCACACTCTTAATTCAAATATATAAAAATAATACAATAAAAGTTTATATCGTATGGTCTAAAATATATCTAACAATATTAATAAATAAAATTTCAAGTTAGTTGAAATAATTAATATGTATGTAAGCAATAAAATCTGCATCCGTTTTTTTTGTTGACGCGATAATGGGTTGGATCTACCTCTGAATCAATAATTGTTGCACCTTTCTTCTATAAGTCAACCAAAATATTTATATCTCACCATAAAGTTTGTTTTGGTCCCCCGACATCGACAGCCTTTTACATTCATCAACACCTCAGTTCATTACTTTATTACGTGGTCGGTAACGAAGTTTTCGTCAAAAAAAATATTTTTTAAAAAGTTTTAATTTTTTTAATATTTAAATGGTGTTTCTTTAGTTAAGTATTTGTCTGTCGATCCGACTCATTTGACTCGTGATCTAAAGTGAATCGAGTTGAACTAATTATTTTTCGACTCGTTAAAGAATGGACTGAAATGGATTGGAGTCGAAAAATCTGAAATCGAAACCGGATGAACTGGTACGGACCAGCCTGTTTTACATCCATACATTTCCGGACGGATGATAAGTGTTATTCGGAGTGATTTTGTACAGATAATTACGGCGACAATCTAAGAAATTAATCATCTTCTGAACTTTTGTACAGTTCACGCAATCCAATGAAAAAAAATCTCCATCTCATCATCGAGAGATTATATGTGATGGAAAATATCTGCAACCCTAAGAGCTTATCCCTCTCTTGTACTTTTGTTATACAGTTCATTACGTGTTTGGTAGTGAAGTCTCGGGAGGATAAAAACGAAATATATCGAACGTGAAACCTTTGGACTACTTGCCGTTTTTTTTTTTGGTTGGGATCCTACATTTGTTTTTTTATCTAAATCCATAATCAAGTCATTGGTGGTCTCAATATCAGTACAGCGCTACCAATAAGAATTCAAAACGAAGGAGATAAAAAACGACAAGCAATTTCGTTTTCTCGTGGTTCGACGCTTCGTTGTCCAAAAAAAAAAATGGTCCTATCCATCCATCCATCCATCACGTGCCCGATTTGCTCAATGATTATAACCGTACAGTGTCATAAAAATATCATTAATTTCGCGATATAGTCTATATAAAGAGCTCAATACAAGTGAGCCAAAGCAACCAGCCTTAAAACGTAAGCGAAACCACAGGAAAAAATGGCGAAATGCGGCGGAGAATGGAACTTTTCGGGCAGCGAGGCGGCGAGAGAGGCGGCGGCGAGGTCGTTGAGCAAGGTGGTGTCGAACATCAAAGCAAATACCGACCCCAACAGCGGAAAGATCGTACTGCCGCCCTCCGAGAACATCAGGACTTGGCCCGGGGCCGAGAAGGCCGTGGCCGACGTCGTGGGCTCGGGTAAGGGGAACGATTATGCTCCGAGCATCGGTACTCCCGAAGCCAAGCAGTAAGTTCCTCGAATATTATGGATATATATAAAGGTGATTCCATTGATAAAGATAATGTATACAATAAGTAAGAATTCAACTAACTCAGTATTTTTTTTTGGGCATGACAGGGCGATTTCGGATTATCTAAACGGAGATCTTCAAGGGCAAGAGTTCAAGCTAAAGCCGGATGACGTGTTCATGGCGGCAGGATGCAAACAATCGATCGAGATCATAGTCGAAGTTCTGGCCAAACCAAACGCTAACATTCTCCTTCCTCAGCCCGGGTTCCCCCGCTACGACGTCCGAGCGATCTACAACCAAGTCGAGGTCCGGAAGTACGACGTTCTTCCCCACCAAAACTACGAGATCGATCTCGACCACGTCGAGAAACTCGCCGACAAGAACACCTTCGCCATCGGCATCATAAACCCTCACAACCCCTGTGGAAACGTTTACTCCGAAGATCATCTCAAGAAGGTATAATCTATACTTGAATTCGTTTTTTTTTTTCGTGTTACTCTTTTTATAAAAGTTTTCTAATCCATTTTCATATAGGATGAATGCCCTTTTGTCCAAAAACGTTTTTTTGTTAGTAATTGAAGATTGCGTAATGTCGAAAATGTTTTAATATTGGAGGGTTATGTGATTTTTTATCAGCTTGCAGAGCTTGCTAGGAAGCTGGGGATGATGGTGATCACTGATGAAGTGTACCGGTGGACAGTGTTTGGGGAGAGGCCATTTGTTCCGATGGGAAAGTTTGCATCGATCGCTCCCGTGGTTACCCTCGGGTCTTTATCCAAAGGATGGGGTGTCCCGGGATGGCGAATGGGCTGGGTCGCGTTGAACGATCCCGAGGGCGCCCTCAAATCCACCAAAGTCGGCCCATTTCTTGGTTTTTTCTTATGGTGGTCATTTCGGTTAATGCATAGATAAACCAAACCGATCTGAACTGAATATCATTTTTTTAAAGCGAAAAATCGAATATGGATCAAATATAGGGATAACTAGAAAACCAAAATTTTTTTGTAAATGATTATTATTTTTCATTAAAAACCGAATGAATCTATACCAAATATCAAGAGAAACTGAAAGGGAATCAAATTCAATATAAAAAAAATGAATAGTTATAGTTTTTTAAACCAAAATAACGGAATTCAGATATACTTGAACTAAAACCCAAAATGGTCTTCATATATAGACACAATTTTTAAGGCAAGAAAACCTTGCATAGAACATATAACCTTACATCAACAATCTCTCTTGTGTTTCTGACATCTTATGTTGTCTTGAATAGGTCCTGCAAGCTATCAAGGATAACCTCGAGATAAATTCGAAACCCGCAACTATATTCCAGGTTCATGAATTCACATTACCATATATATATATATACACATATGTTAAGAGATGATGCTTGCTTAGAAGATGATTCATGTTTTTGGTATAGGCGGCTCTTAGGGATATCTTGGAGAAAACCCCGAACGAATTCTTCGCGAATAAGAACGCTTATCTGAAACGGAATGTCGAATATGGATTCGATCAGCTCCAGTACATTCCCTGCCTCTACTGCCCCATGAAACCTGAAGCCTGCACTTTCTTATGGGTACATATATATATGTACACACACACACGAGTATGGAAAACAAGAATGTATATATATTAGAAAATCGATCAACGTGTTTCATTGCAGACGAAGCTCGACCTGTCGCAGTTGGAGGGCATCAACGATGACCATGAGTTCTGCTCGAAGCTAGCTGCCGAGGAGAACCTCGTCCTCGTACCTGGTAAACGTTGTTGCAACTCCCCTGATCGAGATTAACACCATCACACGATCTCGTACTCGCAATACACTCAAATAATACCCGTCTATATATATATATATATTGTAAAGTTTTATTCCATGGTTTTTGAACGAAAACGGTCTATAGAACTTGCAAAAATTCCACGGTTTTTCAGCATCTGATTTCGAGTATAACGGGCTTCGTATCGGCTTGTAGGAACTGCGATGGGTCTGGAGAACTGGCTGAGGATATCGGTCGAGTACTCGGATTTTTCTCTGGTGGAACAGACCTTTGATAGATTGAAGGGCTTCTTCCAGCGCCATGTCAAGAAACCAAAAGCTTCACTCGAAGATCTGAAACTCAACTGAAACCAAACTGAACAAGAAATAAGTTGTGGACTCCGGCCCTTTGCTTCTTCTTCCGTCTCCATCTCTGAATAAATTTGTCACGTGTGAAAAAAACTCCACAACGTAGCGTTTTCTCTTTTGTTTGAAGTCGATGGCCATGATGTGTTTCCATGATGTCATAAATAAAGTTCATTCGTATCGGCTTTTGGTTTGAAGAAGCTTTTTTTTATTAACTTTATCGGAGTTCTAGTTCTGAGTTTAAAGAATGCTTTATCCCTGCAAGTACATGTCGGAATTCAGACCGTGTTTACTTGCGGTCCAGGAAACTAGTCCAGGGGGCTATAAATACGCGCAATACCCATAAAAAAAAATAAATCAAAAAACAGTATTTTTTTTTTTTGTCAAACGAGGAAGTTCACCTAAACCTTTGAATACGCAGCCCTCTCCCTCCCCGCATACCTGGATTCGAATCACTGACCTGAAAGAGGAACACCTTCACTTCCAATCTAGATAACACTCTCGACCACAGACATGTGGGTTAAAACAGTATTTAACGATCTTTTCGTTCTTTCTCAAACCTCACTTGTTATCTTTCCATTTTGCATTCTTTATTTGTTTGCCCTAACGGGCGGTTTTCTTGCGTGCCAAATCATGTTAGGAATCATGTGAAGGCACTAGACGTTTGACGGCGCACGGACGACCGTTAGACACGTGCGACACATAGTTGGGCAGATTTTCTGAATTTTGCATTTTATCTATATGGGCTTTCGAGTTTTGGATTAGGCCCATTTTGATCGTGTGCTACGTACGATATATTACTGGGCTTTGTTTAATCATGGCCTGTGGTCTATTGGGCATTTAACATTTAATAAGAAGAATTATATTTTATATAATTTTTTTAAAAATCAAATTAGTTTATCAATCAATTTTTTGAAATAAAAGTTATTTTTGATGAAAACGAATCTAAATCCAATCAAATTGAATTAAAAAAAAATAAAATAAGTGCAAACTAATTGGAAAACGAAATATTTTTTGAAGTAATATTCTTTTTTTTTATAAAATCAGAAATCCGAGATCCAAATAAAGCTCGAACCGAATCATTTTAATATAAAAAACATTATCAATGTTATTTTTATAAAATTAAAAATTGAACCTGAAAAAACTTTAAATCCGAAATATAACTAAAGTTCTAAATCTTTCTTTCTATATTCCCCGCCTTTTTAAAGTGATATTCTTTCTATATTCTCCGTATTTCGTATTTAGCTGTTAAATTCTAAATTTTTCAGAGAGCACACAACTGATGAAAAGAGACAGAACAACATGAAAATGACAACAAGACAAGAGCAAGACCCTTTCCTTTTATTCGCTCTCCGATACGGTTACCATTCTCAGGTGTACAAGAGAACAAGATCTAATACCATGATTAAGACACTGAAACTAGGGTTCGTAACTTGACACAGAAGCAACCAGAAAACAACTCAAACACCTGAAAATGAGGGCGCCTCCATCTCACTGTATCAGCCTCCTCCACATTACTCTATCTTAAGCCGAAGAGTTCTTCTGCACCCACTCCACCAGCGTTGCTACCCCAAACCCGGTCCCAGCCTTCTTCTTATCGTTCCAAACGGGTCCAGCCATGTCGATATGCATCCACTGCACCTTCTCGCTCACAAACTGTCCGAATCCCGAAAGGGGTTTTTCATCAGTTCAGAATTCGCAGAAAGCTGTCATCTTTGCCCAAAGGGGTTTGAGGGCTTTAGGGTTTAGGGTTTCACCTGTTTCAAGAAGAGAGCTGCGGTGATTGAACCGCCCGCACGACCACCAGTGTTAACCATATCAGCCACACCCGATTTCATTTGCTCCCAGTAGCTCTCCTCCATTGGCATCCTCCATAGCTTCTCTCCGCTTCTCTGAGACGCATCAAAAACCTCGTATGCGAGTTCATCACTCGGTGTAAAGACACCTAACAAGAACACCGTGATCATCATCAATGAACATTAACCAGATTTCTTCGCAAAAAGACATCATCCTCGTGACACTTGCTCGGCTAAGATATGATCAAATTCATCAAGAAAGCAAACGCAAAAGACGATGACTGAATGATTTCTTCAAGTGCTGATGGTTATTTACCTGCGATTGTTGGTCCGAGAGCAACAACGCATGCTCCTGTCAATGTCGCGAGGTCAATAACCTGTCAAGATAGTTCACAAATTAGATTCTCGTTACCGACAAATCAGGACGAGAAAAATATTGCGGGGGCATCTTCCATCGATACCTTATCGACGCCCTGGTTGCAAGCATACACCAGAGCATCAGCAAGTGTGAGTCTACCTTCAGCATCAGTGTTGTTAACCTTCACACCAGAGAAAACAGAAGAAACATTGGATGATTTTGTTGATCGTCTAGAAGAAAACAGTGGAAGAAGCTCGAATCTTAGAAAACACGATTAACACTAAAAGGCAATGCCGGAATACCTCAATAGTCTTTCCGTTTGAGGCAGTGAGAACGTCTCCCGGCCTCATTCCAGTTCCACTGATCATATTCTCACATGCGGCAACGATAAAGTGAACCTGATTACCCGTCCTTTACTTAGTTACACGTTTTTTATTTTATTTTTCGGTTTAAACACTTCAAGTTCCAATGGATTCGATGAGTGTTACCTCAACGCCAGGAGGCTTAATTTGACCAATGGCTTTGGCAGCACCAAGAACAGCAGCTGAACCTCCCATATCAAATTTCATAAGCTCGATGGAGCAGCCAGGTCCGGTCTTAATGTTGTAGCCACCACTGTGAACACAAAACCAACACTCAACATCCAATCCAACCCGGGAAACAAAAGACAAGACACCCCACAGGAGCAGATCGAGAATCATAAGAGTTCTTGTTCTTGTAATTAATTACCTGTCAAAGGTCAATCCCTTTCCGACAAGAGCGAGCTTGGTTGTCACGGGTCCACTTGAAGGCGTGTACCGAAGATGTATGAAACGAGGTGGATTTGCAGAGGCAGCAGCCACACCGAGATAGGAACCCATCTTCAACTCTTTGCATTTCTCCGCATCCAAGATGTTTGCAGTGAGAACATCGCTGTACAAGGAAGCGAGTTTCACGGCTTCCTCCGCAAGAGCATCTAATCCAAAAAAAAAGAAGCAAGCATCACATTACACTCAGTTCCCAACTCGGATGCACGAAATAACAATGAAAACAATATTAAGACTAGGGAGCTCGAGAAAACAGTCTGTAGTACCAGGGGTGAGCACATTGGCCGGAGAATTGACGAGTTCCTTCCCGAAAATAATACCCGAAGAAACATCTTCAGCGTACTTCAGCTTCTTCTCGAGTTCAGGACCAGTTCCAAAACCGATGATATCCACGGATTTAAGAGATGGTTTCTTCGATTCCGACTTGTACCTGGTATCCTCATATATACCGAGCACGGTTCCTGTCACGATACAGAAAAATCCAACAGGACAATCAGTTCTAAACTCTACTGAAACACAAACTCTCCTGATGCAAGATGAAAAATCAATCACAAAACGATCACCTGAAGCAATGGCCGAAGCAGAACTAATCTTGGATTCATCAGGAACACTCTCAAGGGATGCAAGAACAACAGCTACATTGCTAGCTTGAGCAGATTTTGCAGCAGCAGCAACAGCCTCACCGAGACTCTGAAAAGACGATGGAGATGAAACCGACGATCCGAGACCGATCAACCCAACCCGTTTTGACCCGAGACCCGGAAGCCTAAGAACAGTTGACTGGCCGGGTTTTCCGGTGAAATCCTCCTCGGACGAGACTTCTGCAAGAAGCCCACCCAAATGGGCATCGAGCTTCTCCAAGATCGGGTTCTCGAACTTTGAGTTTTCGTCTTTTTTCATGTCTTTCTCCGTTACGCCAACCGCGAGTATGTCTCCTTTCCATTCCGTCACATCGACATCTTTCGCTGAGAACGAGATCTGCATGAGATTTCAACGAATCGATTTGACGTCAGCATCAGAGCCAGAGCCGGTACGCAGCCAAACAAGAATTCCAGACAGCAGATCGGTTCCGAACTACGCAAAATCCATAGATCTCAAACAAGAACAAGAACAATCAACACAGATCATAGAAACATCAGAAAACAGGAAGCCCAAGAGGAGTCGCCCGATAACAAGCTACTGCAATCGATTGAAAAGACAGACCCAGATCCTCGTACACATGAACAAACCTCCAGACGGAGAATCCGAAAAAAAGGAGAAGAGAAAAACCTTAGTAAGGTCGATCGGATGGGGCTGAGTGAGGCCGAGAGTGGCGCGTGCGAGGGTGTGAGCCATCGCTCTGACTCTGGTGGCCGAGTAGAGCGGAGTGACTGAAAAAGCGAGTCTCGCAACGGGCGACCACCGCGATCTCGACAAACACAAAGAACCGGTGGAAGAAGAAGAGGAGAGAGAATGGAAGAAGCGAGATGATAAAGACGAAGACGGAGAGAGAGAAAGAGAAGAAGCCAAAGACGCAACGACAAGAGAGACGGCCATTCGAAGACGCCTAGGCTGTTTGTATTTATAAGGACGATTCCATGTCTTTTCTAGTCAAAGACTATTATTTCACTCACACATTATGTAACCCTATCAAATAATACATAACTGGATAAAAATGAAATGAATATCATATATTCTTAAACGAGATTAAAAATAATTCCAAAATCTAAAATTTTAGAAAATAAACATTATTGATTTTGTTTAAAACATTATTAACATAATAAAAGTCAATATTAAATTGAATAATTATAGATTTTTTAAAACAAGTCCAAAAATAACGAAAACTAATAATCAACACCAAAGTTCGAAATGATCACATGAAAATAGATGATTTTGTTTTTCTGTGTACATAAAAAATATATGATTTTATTTTTTTCTCTGTAAAGAGAAACTATATGAAAAAAAAATCAAGGAATACAAAGATTTCTTTCTTCTTTTTTCCTTTATAAAAAAAAAGGTATCGCGTAGTAAAAAAATTGTGATAAAGAATAAATTTATAAGATTTTGTGCCGAATTGTAGTATTTCATATATGGGATTATACAGTTTACAAATATCTGGAATTGGAGAACGGTATATAGAATGTATGTGATACATAACATCAATAAAACAATACAGTATATCATATACTATAATTTACCAAAAATAAGAAATATAAAAAAGAATAAATTAAATTGGTAAATCCAAAGACTTTTAATTCAATTATTCTTTTTCCACGTTGTATTTGAAATACGCTCTCTTTTTTTTTTTCGTTTTATTCCCTTACCTACTTAATATTCCATTAATACATTCGTGATATTACTTTCCTTCCAATTTATTATCGTGTCGAATATTTCGACAAAGACAAAAGACGAACGGCTGATTCGTTCACTTAATCATCACATGGATTAAGCTGCTCATGTAAATACATTAAAAAAAATAGGTTATTTAAATCCGCGGTTTAAAATTTTAAGAATTAGTATCAGATTTTGTAACGTCCGCGATACTGTCTTGATGTCGTTCTCGTCCGGCCCATGGGTTGAGAGGCGTTGCGGTATACGGTGTTTGATGTGAAGGGTTGTAGGATAGGGTTTCCCATCATAACAAAAAATAAATAAAAAAAATAACATTTTCCACGCCCGAACGCTTATCGAGATTATCCGAGCTTTTACGGCTTCCATATCCGATTCCGAGGAAAGTTTTCGGGAAGAACGAAGGCGTCGGGGCAATGACTTACTTTCGATATAAGCCATCCCCCGAAAGAAAAAGCCGTCCTCTTCCGGTTTTTCTGTTCCTTGGATATGGACCATTCTCAACTTCGTCGAGTTCTGGACACCAAATGGTTCATAAACGTCGGATTGGATTAGCAAACAAGTCTGCTCCTGCTCTGAAGCGAAGACAGATACGAGTATAAATGTCTTTGACCGAGACTGACTCGACAGTGTTTTTTTCTCTCCAAACAAACGCCGTTAGTTTTTCCGTTAATTCTGGCTGCCTACCCTCCCGGCTTCCGTCGAATCGCCGTTCGTTACTTCACGTTGGACACCTTTTAATGACGATTATTAGACGGTTCCACGCAGTAGACGTGACTATTGCCATATTGCTTTGATGCTTATGCGGTATTTTATTTGTATTTATTATTCGAATGAATATAAGAAAAAATATTCTTCAAATTTACAATGAAATAATGAAACGATTTTTAATATAAATTTTAGCATGGAATATCAAATCGGTATATACAAAGATACAAATATGCATATCAAGGTATTGAAATCTGTCTCATGATTAATTTCCCAATTTCTACAGTTTACTTTTTTTTTCATTTCTTTAAAGAGATTTTGCTCATGGTTGGGTCTTTTTTAATCACCCTGAGAAAATCATGGCTCATCCGTACATCACTGTCGAGGACTGATAACTCTTGATATCAGTTTAGGGTTTTTTTTAATTTTATTTTCTTCTCATATCCCTCGTACAAATGACCCGGGAGCATTCAGGTACACCATCAAATCTTCTCAATTTCACTTCTTTTTTTTTTTCGTTTTTGTTTCAATCTTTCGCAAATTCAGCGACTTTTGTTTATGGGTTGCTTTGGAATTCTGGTTCGTAGAATTTCGTGTGATGTTCTTGAGCCATCTCGCGGTTTACTTGTCGAACAATCATCATGTCTGTGTGTTTGGAAATGGGACAAAAGGATTGAGAGATGAGAATTTTCCTGTTTGCTTTCTGAGAAAATGTTGTTTACTTTGCATTTGCCGGAAAGGAATTTCAAAAAAGAAATTGTGGGTACTGTAGTTTTTGATTCAGAATTCAACATCCTTGGACGCTGCTCTTGATAGTTTAAAGTTCATGTCTTGATGAAGTTTTGAAGCCCTTCTTCCATAAGAACGGTGTCAAAGGTCGCACCTTTTTCCCATGGTGTTGCAGTTTTGAGTGTTTTCCTCATCTTATTCGAGAAACCCAGAATCATATCAGTTCAAGAAGATTAGATAATTTGTCTATTTATGCCAATTCCAGTTTGCAGATTTATGAGAATTCTTCAGTTTCCTTTGCTCATCTCTGTTGCCTTTAGCGATGCTCTTCATGGTTTACAGCAAATATATTAATCGTTCTGTGATCATCTGCGTCTTATATTCAGGAGACATAACAATGGATGAAACATTGCAACACCGACCTGTTACGTTTTCATTGTCAGATTGGATACGCAACGCGAGGAAAGGGGCTCGGGAGACTTACAAATCGAAGCCGATATCTCGTTGGATTCTCCTTGTCCTCAGCAGCCTTTCGATGCTCATAGCCTTCCCGGCTTCTAGCCTTCTGTCTCGAGTTTACTTCTCCAATGGTGGTAAAAGCAAATGGATCATTTCATGGATAGCGGTGGCCGGGTGGCCGATCTCTCTTCTGATTTTACTACCCGTCTATGTCATTCGCAAGAAAACGCCGACTCCGCTTACTATGAAGCTCCTCGTTTCTTACATCGTACTAGGTTTCTTGAGTGCAGCAGACAACCTTATGTTTGCTTATGCCTATGCCTACCTCCCTGCTTCAACTTCTTCTCTACTGGCATCTTCCTCCTTGGCGTTTTCTGCGCTGTTCGGGTATTTCATTGTCAAGAACAGGATAAACCCTGCAATCGTAAACTCGATCATCATAATCACTGCTGCTATGGCTATAATCGCGTTGGATTCAAGCTCTGATCGGTACAGTAATGTAAGTACCCACCAATATATGGCAGGTTTCTTCTGGGACATAATGGGATCTGCACTTCATGGGCTCATTTTCGCCCTCTCAGAGCTTGTGTTCGTGAAACTTCTCGGGAGACGGTTCTTTCACGTCGCATTGGAGCAACAAGTGATGGTTTCCCTCTTCGCCTTCGCCTTCACCACAATTGGGATGGTCCTGAACAAGGATTTCCAAGGGATAAGCCATGAAGCCAGAAGTTTCAGAGGTGGGGAGTCTCTGTATAAACAGGTCCTCGTCTGGGGAGCGGTAATAAGGTTTAGGCCCTAACTCCACCACAAAAGCTAGCTTAAGAGTGGAGGTTTGACCCTTACTTATATATTGGCCCAAATCCCTCTCATTTTCCAATGTGGGACACTTATCAGCCGATTTCCAGAGAGACTTAAAAGTTACCAAGGTAGAGTGGAGCTGAGGGTTACCGCGAAGTACCACCTGGCGTCCGTCATGTTCGAATTTCATCTCCAATCTGGCGAAATCCAGCTGAATCTTTCCCAGAGTCCTCAGCCATTGAATACCCAGAATGACATCAGTGCTTCCCAACTCCAACGGCAAGAAATCGGCCACTACTGTCATCTCCGGAAGCTGCAGACAAATCGCACGACAAACCCCGCCGCTGCGGACTGCCACTCCTGTACCCAGAGTAACTCCGTATCCCGTAGTCGGCGTTGGCTCGATCTGCAAAGCCCGGACGATTTCCCATGAAATGAAGTTGTGGGTTGCGCCACTGTCAACCAGCACAATGACAGGACGGGTCTGAATCTCCCCCGCAACTTTCAGAGTCTTTGGGGACGTGATACCCACCGCGGACTGGAGAGATAGAGTCGCGACTTCAGGGTTTGGGTTGAGCTCGTCTTCCACCGGCTCTGGGTTGTCATCTTCGGCGAGGACCTCTTCCCCTTCGTCCGTCACCATTACCACCTGTAACTCCCTGTTCCTGCAGCGATGACCCTGATGGTAACGTTCGTCGCAGCGAAAACACATACCTCGACGGCGACGTTCCTCGATTTCCGCATCTGGAAGTCTCCGGAAATTGGGCCTTTGGGCTCCCTGGCCCAACTCAGGTGGAGCTCCTTGTCTGGGCCCGACAACTGGACCTGGTTCCTGACGGCGATGCCCCCCACGGCCCAGTCCTCCCCCGTTCCCCGTTTGCAGCGATACCGTCCGAAAATGCCCCGCCGATGTCGACGCCGGAAAACGGGCAGAACGAGTATCCCCAGATTTGAACTCTGCAACCGCGTTCCTCTCCAGACGGAAAGCCAGCGCGATAGTATCCTCCATGCCTTGTGGATTGAGAACCTCCAGCATATTACGAATCTCCGTTTTTAAGCCGCTGCGAAAAGCACACTCGAGTAAAAACTCCGGAACCTCCGAAAGTTGTGATAGCAGCTCTTCGAAACTTCGTAAATAGTCCAAGACCGTAGTAGTCTGATGTAGGGAAAAAAGACGATTGCCAACAGATCCTACAATACGTTCGTCAAATCGCCGAAGAAGACGGGATTTAAAATCAGCCCAGTCACGGAAAGGTCGGTTGCTGCACTGCCAGTCGTACCAGTGGAGAACCTCCCCATCAATGCTTAACGCCGCCAAGTTGAGACGTTCCTGGTCCTGAATATTCCCGAAACGAAAGTAGCGCTCGGCGCGAGTAACCCACCCAGCTACGTTGGTTCCTTCAAATATCGGCATCTCGATCTTGCGCAGTTCGGGGTCGGCAATAAACGCAGCACAGTTGGTTTCCTGCGCTTCCATAGCCCGAACAGGTGTTGTCTCCTGGTCCATCAACGGAGCCTTCCCCTCCCGATGGGAAGATTCCTGGCCCAGGGACGACTGCCCCCCTGTAACCACGTCCCCAGAGGATGATTTCCCTGGTTCCCGACGGCCGTCCATCATGAGACAGAACTGTTCCATCATCCGGCCAAAATCTTTTTGGAGTCCCGAAATGGCCCCATGCATTTGGGTCATCCGAGAATCAAACTGGCCCATCTGTTTGGTCACCGCTTCCTCAAGCTGCTCGAGCTTCGAATTTTTCGGCGGCATGGTTGACCTGATCGGAGCTCTGATACCAATTAATAAGGTTTAGGCCCTAACTCCACCACAAAAGCTAGCTTAAGAGTGGAGGTTTGACCCTTACTTATATATTGGCCCAAATCCCTCTCATTTTCCAATGTGGGACACTTATCAAGCGGTCACGTTTCAGCTTGGTGTCCTTGGAGCAACTGCAATACTCTTTCTGGCTTCCACGGTCATGGCAGGCGTCCTCAATGCCGTGAGAGTGCCACTCACGAGCATAGCCGCTGTCATATTGATGCATGACTCAATGAGCGGCTTCAAGATCTTGTCTTTGCTCCTCACGTTCTGGGGATTCAGCTCATACATCTATGGGAGCTCATATGCAAGTAATCAAGCTTCCTCTCAGTCCTAATTCCAGATTCTTATTCTTTCAATTGCAGATTGAGTAAACTCTACGGTAAACTTAGCAACTTGTAAACTTTATACATCTTGTAAATCAATTCTTTCTGCATGATTTTTACGTTACCATGAGCAGATAGATGAGCAGAGAAAGGAGAAACAGGCTTCATATATATACAGCATACTTTGATTCAGACAGTAACAGAGGAAGAACTTGAAGCAACAATGAAAGAGAAGACAAACAAAAAAGTGAAGAGAAACTTTTTAATGGGAAAAAGAGATGCAGAATATTAATCTAACATTACATTCATCAGGTTTTTGGTTCGATATCCTTGAGGAGGCCAACTATCTGCTGCATACTTGGACGCTTCGAAGGGAGATCAGCCGTGCAGAGGTATCCGATCTTGAGGGCCTCTTCCATCTGATCTTGTGAACCCGTCTCACGGATTTTCAGATCAATAGCTCTTGATCCTTGGTTCTTTCTAACCAAGCCTCTCACCCAGCTCACCAAGTTTGCATCTTTCTCCTCGGGATAATCATCATCAACTGGTTTTTTCCCGGTTATTAGCTCAAACAGAACTATCCCGAAGCAATAGACATCGGATTTTGGGGTTGGAGAATCGTAATCAGGCTGAGAAAATTCTGGTGGCAGACACCCAGGTGAACCGCGGGCTATTTCATCATCCAAACCGTTTCCAAAGACTTTGGCCAGCCCGAAATCCGATAATCTCGGTTCCCAGTTCTGATCAAGATAAATACTGCTGGCTTTGACGTCCCGATGAGTTATAGGTGGTGAACAACCATGGTGAAGGAAGGCCAGTGCCCGGGCAGTTCCAAGTGCTATCCTGTGTCTGAATTGCCAGGTTGCAAAAGGGCGTTCAGAGCCTATATTCTGGATTCCGTTGTAATCTTCTTCTTCTTCCCATGTGTCTGTGCTCCAGTCGTCTGTTGTCTGAACACCGAGTGGCAGGTCATGAAGCAGGTTCTGCAAGTTACCGTTCTCCATGTACTCATAAATGGCAATCCTTTGATCACTGGCTATGCAGTATCCACTCAATGGAACAAGATTTGGGTGTTTAATCCTCCCGAGAAATTCGAGCTCTTTTGCAGCTTCTTGATCAGTCAGTGTCGAACCATGGACCAAAACCTTTACAGCTACATGGATCCCTCCTGGAAGGAAACCTCTGTAAACAGGCCCGAATTTACCGTCTTCCAAAAGGGTGCCTCTGTCAAAGTTCGAAGTTGCAGACAAGAGATCCGAAAACGTGATGTTTAGCAATGGCTTCTCAAAAATGACAACCGGTACAGCTGTTGCTTGCTTGAGATCAGCCACCCATGTCGTTGAATCTGTCTGGAATGAGAATGGACCCGAAATGCTCTGCTCCTCTTTAAATGAGACTTCTTTCACGGCCCACGACTTGGGTTTCCTTTTACAACCAAAAGCTACAATGAGCAGAGCCCCGACAAGTAAGCACATTGCGGATAACGTCACTGCCAGAGCTAGCTTCAGTCCTTTGGTACCTGCTCCTCTTCTCTTGAAAAGAGCCGGGTTTGCAGCAATAGGGCAGCTGCTAGTAGAGCCAAAGAATGAACTCCTTAGGGTTTCAGGTGAGAACTTTGAGGTACAAAAGGTTAAGTTGTTGAAGGAGAAATTGAATCTCTCCATCCATGGAAGCTTCTCGAGGATAGGCATCGGTATCTCCCCAGTGAAATTGTTCCTCGAGACATCGATAACCTGGAGGTTCTTGATACTTAACAAAGGTATTTGCCCGGAAAGATGATTCTCAGAAACATCCAGTGTCCTCAAATCACTCAACTCCGAGATCTCTCTGGATATGTGTCCAAAACGATTTGTCTTGGACAAGTTCAGATGTTCTAAACCAGAAAGCATTTCGATACTCGGAAACCCACCTCTGTTAAATCTATTGCAAGCAAGATTTAGGTGCTTAAGATTCTTGGGCAATGTCAAGTTCTTGAAAATGTCTCCACTAAGCTCATTCTCAGACAAGTCAAGATAGACCAATTTAGACCAGTTGAAGTCTACCTGAGAAACATGGCCTTGAAACTGGTTTTTGCTGAGATCGGCCACCTCCAGATTCTCCTTAAACACACCAGCCGCTGAACCTTGAAACCGGTTCCCTGAGATGTTGAGAAAACTAATGGAATTCATACCAGCAAAATCTGTGTCCCTGCCATGAATCTGGTTTCCTGCAAGGTTCAAAGCTTTGAGCTTCGGGAATGCAGAACCAAAACCATCAGGCAGAGGCCCATCAAGCCGATTGGAGGAAAGATCAATGGATACCAAAGATTGGCAGCTGAGAATTCCTCGTGGAATGTTCCTTTCAAACCCATTGCGATCGAGCCTGAGGACTCTCAAGCCAGCAAGAGAACCAATTGCTTCAGGGATTTCACCAGAAAAATTGTTGTGGCAGGCGTCAAGGGACTCGAGCAAGCCGAAGTTACCAACATTGTTGGGGAAAGACCCAGAAATCTGGTTGAAAGAGAGGTTAAGATTCTTGAGGGAGCTCAAGCTCCAAAAGTCAGATGATAAAGCAGTGATTTTGTTGTTGCTGAGATCCAAAAACTGAAGCTTGCTGAGTTTACCAATGGTGGTTTCAGGGATCGAACCAGATAAGCCTAATCCAGAAGCGACCAACCCGATAACATGCTCGTTCTGGGAGTCGCAGAATAGCCCTTGCCATGAACAGAAAGGTGCTGAGAAGTTGTATGTTTCAACAGAGCTTAAGCCCATTTGCTTGAAAAACCCAGAGATGAAGAATCCATCAGTGTTGGGTTCTTGGCAAGCAAAATGCTTCAAGAACATTGTCAGAACCAACACATAAACCCATAAACCAAGACCCATTGAAGAAGTTCAAGAAATTATCCCCAAAAAAAAAAAACTGAAACCCTAATAGAAGAATGTTACCTCCACCACCACCACTACCACCAAAAACCCAGAAGAAGAAAAAGCGGATAGATGACAAAATCTCTGCGAAGAACTTACTTTGGGGTCACCATGCAAAACCCAGAAAAACTAGCGGAGGAAGACAAGACACAACACAGTAAGGGGGAGAGAATCAGAGAACAAGAGCAGGTAAGAGGACAGCAAAAGGCTTGACTGTGGAGGAGTTCCAAGAAAGAATCTGAGAACGCATTTTCTTTTCTTTTTCTCTCTCTGGGGCTCTAAGAACAACAAAAACCCAAACAAAACAATGGACAAAACAAGATATGGAGCACTTTTGTCCCTGCGGACAACTTTCAGAAGATTAATATATTAATCTCTTCTTCCAGAGAGAGAGAGAGAGAGAGAGGGGCCAAAGAGAGTAAACGTAGAGACAGTTAGGAGCAGTCAGGAATTGAAGCTTTTCATAAATGAGAGAATTCAATCGCTTGGATTCACAGACACCACCAGGTTTATTTATATGAACTGCTTTTCTTGTTGGAGAAATTCAATGACCCCTCTCTCCATTCCTCAGTGGGAAAATCCATTGCTAACTTTTTCTAACCCCTAAATTTCTGGGTTGATGTTACTGTTCCCTTTTATTTATAAACATAAAGTTTCCAACTTTAACACGATTCACAGTGGGAAAACAATGACAAAAGTTTCCAAGTGATATTTTTTTTATATAAAAATAAAAAGCAATCTTTTTTGGATTAAAAAGAGCTCCCTTTTCTTTTGATTTCTCTCAAAAATCTCTTTTTTATTGTGCAAATAGCGCTAAAAGTTATCCTCTCCACATAATATATACATATATATGTCTTGTGAATTTTTTCATGTCATACGAGTAAAGAAAAACCTCATCTCCGAATATTGTTTTGTTTTCTGTGACATGAACTTCCGTATCTTTGATTCATTTAACTTATATCTTATAATTATGATTTTTTAAAAAATATATATAAAACAATATTTGCAAGGTATCTTTTTCAAACTAATGGGTTCGATTGTATTCCTATGCTACTCTTGAGGTTTAACATTTCTTTGAAAAAAAAAATATATTTTATAAAGCCTTATCTATTATAGTTGGGAAATTGTAATTTCTTTGGCCAAAGAGAGTCCCTAATTTTTTGGTAAATTTTAATTTTACAAAATATAAATGGGTTCTCTTCTCTTCATGACGAGTCAGTCCTCGAGCAGACCGTACGACTTAAGATTGGTCTCTGTAGTTCTTTTGACTCATGCAGAAGATCAGGGTTATGGTTATGGATGGTGAGGGCCAACTCGTCATATTGTTGATTTTAACCTTAATATTTGTATTATATGGTGTGATTTTAATTAAATGTATTGTATCATATTTTAATATAGAAAAAATTAAAAGTAAACCGAATCATCTAAATTTAAATATTTCGCAATTTTCAAAATAATGTTTATCGATTATATTATTTAATATATATGTTTGCGATATACTATAAAACTATCATGTTTTCGAATTATTATTGAGTATTGATTTTTGAATTTAAAAAATATACTATTCGTCTTTTCTATATACAAATTTTAATTTGCACTCAGCTTTTAAATAAAGGTATTCACATATGATTTTTTTATATATATTTTTTGTTTTGAGTTATTATTAATATACGTGTGATATTTTACTAAACTATAAGTATTAAAAAATATGAAACTATTATTCGAAATTAAGATGATACTCTCAAATCTGCCGGTGTAACTTGATACTTGATAAAAACCATGAATTTTATGATTGTATTTTGATTATAACATGTTAAATTATAACGTGTTTGTTTAATTTAAATAATTTAATTGTTTGTCTTTAATTATTTTTAATAGAACCTTTTACTTTTTAATACATTAAAAAATGGAATAGTCTCGTCCGGACTTATAATTAATGCATTCGAATTGGTATAACCATTTTACATACATTTTTTCGTCGCATACATCGAGAACATCCTCTCAACTTCTGCTCTTGTGTTTAATGGGAATGTTTGTTTTCTTCTGTTTATGGTTTCGTATAATGGGAATGTTTCCATAATTAAATAAAACGTCGCATTTAATATAGTATTAATTTGGAAAATATGATAAATCTTTGGCACGTGATTGATGATAATGCATGGGTGGACGTACCATAATCATATCACGTGAATCTATCTGACTGATGATATAAAATTTTGTTAAGCATCGGAATAATCGATTGGGGCCTCACATAAACAAACATTTTAGTGCCTTGAAATAGTACATGCCCATATCAAGATTGTTGACAATATTCAAGATATAATCATATATATATATATATATATATATATATATATATATATATATATATATATATATATATATATATAGAGAGAGAGAGAGAGAGAGAGAGAGAGAGAGAGAATTGGTCAATATCGAATCATAAATCAAGAAAATGAAACAAATAAAAAGAAAATTCAATTGTCACTGTATTTCATTTTATGAAACAACAAAATGTTCAAGTGCAACATTATAGAAATTCAAGACTATATAGGAATAATCAATTGCTTATAAAACAATATATATATATATATGATTATGTCATTTATAATCTAAAACCATATCATATTTAGTTTTGGTAGTTCCATTTTTCCATAGTCTCCGTAATTACATTTAGTACCAATTATCAAATAATTAAAGTATAAGAAATATAATTTACTCATCTAAAAATTGATTTTGTGAGGGGGATGTATTCAACATCGGTTGGTTGGTTGCCACAAATCCTGTCTCGGTTGGCCATTTTCCCCCTAGGCATAATTTGTCGTCATTTTTGACATTTTGCTGTGAAAACAAAATTAGAATATAATATAATATAATATACATACATATATACAAGTCTATCCACTCTCGAGAGGTATGCCAATATTGTTTTTGGTCAAAATTATAATTTTGCTTGTGATTTAAATTTTTTTATTATAATTCAGCTGACTTGAGTATACATTTAATTTATTAAAAATCATTCATTTTTATTAATGTTAATATAAAAAAATATGGGTATAGAGAAAGGACAAAAATTATGGTTGCGAAAATTATGATGTAATAAAATAAAGTCCGTAGCTCTTACAAATAGCTCCCGATGTCTACATTGATTTTATTCATCTGGCAAATAGATTTATAAACATCACCATCATTAGTATGTTTGATCTTTAGATCACCCAAAATTTACAACTATGCTAATTAGATTTAGTATTAATGATTAATAGTTAGATTAGTGTCTAAACATATGTAATTATTTGTGGTCGTCACCAAATATTACTTCGAATTAGATTCTTGTAAAGTTAGCATGACAGTTGTTGATATAAATTTAAATTAAATTGCGAATTAAATCACATATTTTAAAAAAAAATTATTGGATTGTGAAATTTTGTACACATTAAAAATATACATTCAATTTTTATATTATATATTTTTTTAATTCTCGTCGAATTTGTTTTATTTTAAAAATGAAATTCGATTTTAGTTTCCTTAGTTTGATACAAAAATTATATAAAATCCGTTTTTAAATCGCACTGAATTCAAATACAATCAAATATCATTTAATTTAATGTTAGTATATAATATAATTGAAAAAAGTAACCCGCTTAATTATTTATTATACATGTAACTACGATGTCAAAACGAAGTGATTATATATGGAGAAGGGTTAACGTGTAAGTCACATCACATGTAGAATCCCTCTTGCAAATTGTTATATGAATTATAAAATGAAACAAATGAGTGGAAGCATGCCATGAGATCGTACAAGAAAATCAAAAGCAGTCAAAATAAAATAAAAATGGAAAATTCTGTGTCCAATGATTTGCATTTAGCCGACAGTAATTATATCGCTTTTAAAACTTATCATTATATTTTTAAATAAATATAAAAAATAAAAAATATTTTTAAAAAATAAATATTTTTTAAATAAAATCTTAATCTAAATTAAATAAATATACAGATAAAATTAATTTATATAAATTTTCTAAAATTTAAAAATCTAAACGAAAAGATAAAGAGATCGGTGAGTATAAAACTTCGATTTCAAATTCGGTGATGTCTCAAAAATCAATATCTCCCAAAACGATTGGTCGTTATGATATTATATCATTAGTTATGTTCTTTTTCACGTACCATCATTTTATCTAACGTCGTCTCCTTAGATTTTAATTCATATTATTTCAAATAATTTTCACTTATGGTAGAAGAATATTATTTGATTTCTTTTTCATTAACACACTCAATAGAAGAAGATATCTCCCGTGAATCTCACACACACACACACACACATATGCGTGTGTGTATGTGTGGTGTGGTACATCGTAATTACACTGGCAGAACAAAAAAAATAATATAACAAATAAAAAGAAAATCCCATTGAATGTATAATTAATCCAAAATTTCAACTATGAAAATAATTTTTTTACGGTGTAGAAAGTGTAAAATGTAGGAAGCGTTCTTCGTCCAAACCCGCTGATCCGTTTGGAAGCTTCTAAAGCCTCGGAATGAAGCAGAGATTCTGAGGGGTATTTTGGGAAAATTATAAGGGACGCGTTATGAGTCCTAGGGTTTTCGGTTTCAGAACACTTTTGCGTTTTTGGTCTTCTCTCTAGGGTTTCTCTTCTCTTCTCTCTCTCTAGGCGAACTTCGGTTCTCCGGTTGCGTTGTAGTCGACTCCGGTCGATTCTCCGGCGTGTTTCTGTGTTGTACCTAACAAATAGCGGTTCCCTCTTCCCGAGATGTAGGTACCGAACGTTAGAGCTCGGTACTGAACTCGTAAACTCTGTGTCGTCTATCTTTCTTTCCGATCTTGCTCACACGAGGGTTCGGAGTGATTGGTAAGGTCTCGAGAGGGTAAATCCTCTACATAAAATATAATGGAGAATTCGAAACTAGATTCCATCTCAATCTCGTTCCCCATATTAGAAAAAAAAAATTATATAATTTACTTTTCATCACAAAAAGTAATTGAATCATATTTTCAAGATATATATGATGGTAATTAAGATGAAGTGTGGAGGAAGGAAAACTATGAGTGGTGGAGCAGTGGGAGGAGGCAATGGCAATGATGCTTCGCTTGACAAAGACTCTAAAAAATATTTTAAATTCATATTATATATATATACACTTAATTTTATTTAAACTATGATTCGAATCATCCCATATTTGCCATCTCAGGCAAAATCATTTCTAGCGCACGCAGTTGTATATTCCTCATTACCCATATACGTACATATATATATATATATATGCATATCACTTACTTTTTCATAGGGTGTACGATTTCGATTGGTTCGGGTACGGTTCGGTTTTACAAAAAAATATACCAATCGGTTATTATTTTATATTTGATTCGGTTTAAGTGTAACTATAACGATCCTAAGGTTGCGAAATTCCTTTCGGTTCGATTCGGTTTTTGTTAAAAAAAAAATTAGATTTTTTTAATAAATTTTCGTTTTTTCGAATTTTTTGATTCGGTTCGCTTTTCAAAAAATCACGGTTCAAAAATTTTAAACGATTCGGTTCGAAAACGGTATCGTATTTTTCTGTATCTAAGCTATATATATATAT